GTAAGCAATAATTGAAGGCATCAGCCAAATTGTGAAGTTGTGAGAGTGAGAATATGAATATGAATTGGGAAGGACGTGAGAAGGTGGAAGTGGGACTCCCCGAAGAAAAGCTGCAAAGCAAAGGGGATTACCGGGAAGGGGGACACTATCAGCTCAATGTGTCAGAAGCCCATTTGCAGAAAAGTTGCAAAACGACACCAAAACCATCACTGCACTCTGCTCCCTCCCCGTGGATCTCTCAGACTACTAGAATCTCTGGTGACATATGAGGGAAAAAAAAGTTGGCCCATCACGTGGGGTTTTTCTATTTTACATTAAAAAAATATAGTAAAAGTAATTTCATGTAATTTTACAGTGTGAAGATTTGGAGTAACTATAGCGTGACATCGTAGTAATACGGCTATGTGGTATGACTTGTCTTAGTGTTATAAGCGCCGGAAACTTTTTCATTCACCCATATGATAATTTCTCAAAGAGTTGGTCTGTATTTTGGTGTCTGCTAATAATGCGATAATTAAGCAAGAATAAGATGCGCCAATCTCGTTGCACGGTGTGTTTTATCTTTGGAATATTAGACCATTGGAGCATTGGGGTCTGTTTAATTTGTTCTTCTTGAGCAACGTGCCTGTGCGATGCCGGAGAAGGCAAAAGATAGATTTTTTAAACCTCAAAAGAAAAAGACTGCAAAAAAAGGCTATCTATATCTAAGTGGTACCATGATGTCCTACTTTTGCTTAATCTATTGCTTAATATATGTTAAAAGAACCATAATATTTCAAATTTCCAGTAACTTTTAACCTCCAAACAAAGAAATCTGAATAAACAAATGCAGAGGCCTTGGACATGATATCATGTTAGCTGAATAAACAAATGAAGAGGCCAACCAGCAAGCCCAGTCAGCAACCCATAATCACAACACATGCTCTAGCAGATGTCAAAACACAACCAAGCCAATCCAGCTATTTTGAATTCAAAATGCTGCTACTTTTTTCTTTCTTTCTTGGATTTGGAGTGATATGGGCACCTTTGTCTCTTCAGCCAATGTGGCCCCTTTTATACAAGCAAAGACTTTGCTTACAATTGAATTATATCTATGTCCATACAAGGAAGGAGATTATTTCTGAAGCAACAGCTATTCTCTACTTTCTTTTTCTGCCATATATTTCAAAATCCACCACAAATTTTGCTTTTCCCACCCAATAGTTATATTATGTTATTCAAAGAACATCACTTGATTAGCTAATTTATAGTTTACCACAATAGTTTTTAGACTGCAGATGCTAAACACAAACACTAATTAGCCTATCCCACTAATGTCTTGAGGCCTGCAAGTCTGCAGCAACTTTTGCCTAGGCAGGACCTAGGCAGGCAAAGCTTTCTGTACCAAGCAAAGTCAGCTGATAGAAAAAGACCAAAACATCAATATCAGATCATTTAATCCAGCTTATTATATTTGTTTTCCATCGTCACGCACTCGGCATTGGGTTTATTGAACCTGAGAAAACGAAAAGATTCCAAATTCTGAAAAACCAGAAAACCGAGACTTGAACTGAGAGGTAGCTTTCAAGCTTTCGACAACTGCTACAGATTGCGTTTTTCTTTCTGTCTGGGTAGGTTAATTTTTTTTTTGTTATCTTTGTTTGTCTTGCCCTTTTCAACTTCCTCGACTTTCTTCTCGACCTGATTGTCTTCTGCTTATTTTATTTCTCTCTTTCAAAGACTCGGTCTTTTGCCTCCAAATCTATCCCCTTTATTAACAGTGTCTTTTTCTGTGTTTGTTTGTTATTATAATACTTTGATTTTGCTGGGTTTTGTTGTTCGGTAAGGCCTATGCTGCTTTGGGGATCTACATTGTTTCTTTGTGTTTTTTGACCATTGTTTAATCCGTACAACTCATTACGTATTTCCGTTGTTGCTTGCGTTGATTTTGTTTCTTCAATAATAGCAGCAAACTGGATGTTGGCTTAATGATAATGACATGTTTGTACAACTCATTTCTAGGCGGACACACATGAAACAAATCACAAAGAAGTGATTTTGTTGCCTCAGATTTTCTGGGTGAAATCATAACTATCCAAGTTCATCTTTGGACAAGATGCTGTGTGCTTGTTCAGGAGAGCAATTCAAATTCGAAGAGCCAGAGCCACCTCACTCGCCGGAGTCACTTGCCACGAGGGACTTTTCGGCCAGTGGTCTTTCGTCGAGGACCGGAGACTGGGAGTCAAAATTTGAAGACATCCAAGTAGATGAAGCTGAATCCACTCTAAAAGAAGCTCTATCTTTGAACTATGAGGTGGGTCTTCTTGTTTTCTGAAGTAAATTTGATTACATGAAACTAGCTTGTTCATACAACTGGCCTCTTTGTTCTACAAATTTTGATATATCCCTTCTGAATGAGCTTCAGGAAGCCAGGGCCTTGCTGGGGAGGCTTGAATTCCAAAGAGGGAATTTTGATGCTGCTCTTCAGGTGTTTCAAGGTATTGACATTAGAAGTTTAACTCCAAGGATGGCCAAGGCCATTGTTGAGAGAATTAGGCAGAAAAAACCACGTCCTAAAGGCGATCATGTGCTTCCCAATGTCATGTCTATGCACTCTGTGAGCCTACTTATTGAAGCAATATTACTTAAGGCAAGATCACTGGGGGAACTTGGAAGATTTATAGGTATTGCATACTCTTTCATGGTTGCTTATGTGTTCCTTTCATAATTGATGGGAAGTTTTTTTTGATTTGGAGCATAATTCAGCTTTTGATTGAGATTGGTAGATGGCATTGGGCATCAAATTCTCCAGTAAATTAGATTGCATTGAGATTGGCATATTGATTTCTTTTTATGGTATTGATTAGTTTGGAAGTTCTCATACTTTCTTATTTATCAGAGGCTGCAAAGGAGTGCAAAGTTATTCTTGATACAGTTGAGTTGGCACTACCTAATGGAATGCTTGATGACATCTGTGAGGACTGCAAATTGCAGGACATGTTTCACAAAGCACTAGAGTTGCTCCCCAGTTTATGGATAAAGGCAGGCTATCTTGACGAAGCTATTACTGCATATCGCCGGGCTCTAGTCAAGCCATGGAATTTGGAACCTAAGAGGTTGGCTAATGTTCAGAAAAACTTAGCTTGCACGTTACTCTATGGTGGTGTTGAAGCAAGCCTTCCTCCTCAGTTACAAATATGGGGCACAACTATGCCCAAAAATAATACAGAAGAAGCAATTTTGTTGTTGTTGATACTTATAAAAAAGGTGGCTTTGCGCGAGATAAAGTGGGATCCAGAAATTATGGATCATCTGACTTATGCACTTTCTGTTACCGGATTGTTTGAATTATTAGCAGATCATGTGGAGCAAGCACTTCCGGGATTATATAGACGAGCTGAGAGATGGTACTTTCTTGCTCTTTGTTATAGTGCCTGTGGACAAAATGAAGTAGCTTTGAACCTTTTGAAAAAGGTTGCTGGCTGTTCAGAAGGAAAGAACAAGCCCCACTTCTCCTCTTTTCTCTTGGGAGCAAAATTGTGTTCCCAAGATCCAATTCATGCTCGTGAAGGGATAGCATTTTCGCGTAAAGCCATTGACTTGGTAAATCATCAATGTGAGCATTTCATGGGTCAAGTTCATAAATTTCTTGGTGTTTGCTATGGCGGTGCAGCAAGAGCTTCTGTATTGGATTCTGAAAGAATGTTTTTTCAAAGAGAGTCTCTGAACTCTCTAAACCATGCTGTTCGTAATGAGGAGGAGGATCCTGAGGTGATGTTTAGTCTTGGCCTGGAAAATGCAGTGCAGAGGAATCTGGATGCAGCTTTCAATAATGCAATGAAGTACTCCGATATGATGGCTGGTAGCTCAGGACAAGGTTGGAAGCTATTAGCCCTTGTAGTTTCTGCAGAGCAGCGCTTCAAGGACGCTGAAACCATAGTTGAATTTGCTTTGGACGAAGCCGGAAGAGTGGATCAGTTAGAACTGCTCAGATTGAAAGCTGTGCTACAAGTTGCTCAGGAACATCCCAAGCAAGCTATAGAAACCTACAGAATATTGCTAACTCTTGTTCAAGCACAGAGGGATCTACAAGCTAAAAACTCTGAGCAAGAGCCAACCTTCCATTCTGAGGTTTGCATTCCTTAACGAGTAAAATCACTTTTCGAAGTCACTACGTTTTTGCCCTTTCTCTGTTAAACCTTCTAGTCTTTCCGCTGCAGGAATTTGTGGGAAGAAATTTGGAGAAGGAAGCCTGGCGGGACTTGGCAAACATTTATACAAAACTTGGTTTGTGGACTGACGCAGAAATATGTGTCAACAAAGCCAAGTTGATTGAATTTTATTCTGCCCATAGTTGGCATACCACAGGTTGGATTTTCCCTCCATTTTATTGTCGTTCAAATGTTAAGATACGATAAATGATTGTGTATGAGCATGAGAAACAAATTCTTGAGAGCTTATATTGCTTATATTACTTCAATTCATATCCAATCATCTAATGCCCCTCACTCATTTGCAGGTATGTTGTTTGAAGCTCAATCACAATACAGGGAAGCCCTAATTTCATTCTCAGTCTCATTGTCAATAGAGCCAGATTATGTTCCAAGCATTGTTTCTACTGCAGAAGTATTGATGAAACTTGGTAGCCAATCGCTCCCTATAGCTAGAAGCTTTTTAATGAATGCGCTACGATTAGAACCGACGAACCATGAGGCATGGTTGAACCTGGGATTGATTTCGAAAAGAGAAGGCTCCTTACAACAAGCAGCAGACTTTTTTCAAGCTGCACATGAGCTTCAGCTGTCAGCCCCAGTTCAAAGTTTTGTGTAATAATTTTGTGGCTTCCCACTTATTCTCAAGTATACACTGTCAGCTCCAATATAAAGAGAAGGCTCCTTTGAGAATAATAGACTTTGTACGTATAGGAGGATGGTTATTGCTTGTTCCACTGATAAATTGTAGTCGAAATTATGTCACTAGATGGAGCAACTATAAGCAAAACTAAAATTTGTTGCACAGAGAAATGAATGGCCAGATTTCATTATTAGAAGATGCACCAAAGCAAGAATTTTGCAATTGTTATTGTTCTCCTGACATTCCATATACACAATAAATGACAGAGTGAATGTTGATTGATAAACAAAGTTTGCTTTGGAGATCTGGAGTATTTGTAATAGGCAGAAGAGGAATTGGCAGTCCAAACATGGTTGTATCTGTATAAACACTGCAGAGAAAACAAACGTAAAATGTGGGAACAACAAAAACAAAAATGTCGAATCTGTTTATAAAAAAGAAAGAAAAAAACTGTTGCTGCATGACTGCAGGTGTGAACTTCTTGAATGTGATAGCTATAACACTATCTTTCTTGCTTAAGAAATTCTTAGACAAAAAGAAAATCCTGTCTATCAGAATTAATATTCACCCTGTTACATAGACGTTCTTTACCACTTTATCTTTTCTAAAGTCCCATATATCAAAGATAATACGCCCAAAACGGACGGACATATAGCCTACAATGATGTGTGTCATATGAAACTTATTTTCACCCATAAGTTGAAACCATCACAGGATGATAACTCACAGAAAACTCATTTTACAGGGTATATCCCGTTCATAGACTTACAATTGGAAGTTGTTGGAGAGACGAACGCTCTGCCTCAACCCATCGACCACTGCATCCACAACACAAACAAATAGTCAAACATATGAACTATCTGATTTCAACAAACATGCACATCACACTTTGGTATCAAGAGTGTAAGGGTCGCAAAAAAATTTGAAACCCAGCACATCATAAGAATAAGATTCATCATAGAATGACATCATAGGTCATATTTTCTCAGCATCATATAAAATTAGCATAAAAGCAACAGAGATTGGCATTTAAACCACTAAAACCTACAGGACAGTCCTATGATATTATTGAAGATGTTGACAGTGTAGCTCAGATACATCAGCATCAATTTTCCAACAAAAAACTTGGAAATTCAGTACTCAAACCTTTAATACTGGTTCGCCTTTGTTAGCGCTGGCAGCTTGCTTTGCAACCGCCTGTTGCTGTGCACGTGCAGCTCTTCCTGCTGCAGACTTTTCGAATTCTTCTTGCCTGCAATTGTGGTTGCATTATATAAGTACATTCAAATAATTAACAAACCATTATGTGGGTACATAAGTAAAGTCTCCATGGAGTTGCCATATAATCCTAGCAAACACACGTTTTAATTTTATTATTATTACAAACAAAGCCAAATCCTGCAGGCAGAAATATCCTATGGCGTTGAAAATTGCTTAAATACAGAGGCAATTTTATGTGTTTACAAAAAGTTAAATCCGTTTCATAAACCACTTTTTGTTTCCTTTTTCCGTCATCACTTTCATCTAATTTTTCCCTATCCATGATGAAATTAAACGAAAAACATATACTTTATGAAAGGAAAATTATTAACCGATCCAAAAATCACATCTTTACGTAAGTTCGGTTGCAACTAGATGTCAATTGACGATGCCCAAACGAATTCAGATATCCAAATTTCGCAAATGAAAACGATCGATTGAGAAAATCTATATATACCTTCTCTGGGCCGCTTCGGCAGCTTTGGCAAGAGCTTCCGCGGAGGCTATTCTGTCTTCTTCTTTTCTCTGTGCATTGTTGCCTCCATCGAAACAACACAGCAGCCCCATCTCTCTCTTCTCAATCTGAGACTTTTGCTTCGATTGACTTCTTATACAGTTTCTGTTTTTTGGTAATTACACGTTGCGATGTCCGGATCGATTGCCGCGTGCCACGTCATAAAGTGAGAGCATCTTGTCATCTTGCCAAACGACGTCGTGGTATATCTATGATAGATTAAATAAGCTAAACGCGGCGATTCATTGGTTTTGCCTTCTTCTTGAGAGACTCTGCGGAAGCTATTGGCTTCTTCTGAAACCTAATTTGCAGAGATGACGACCAAACCGTTGGATTCACTACAGCCTACTGAAACTCTAGAGATAGAGAATGGACTGTCGCTGGTGCCACGCGTTAGGCTCAATCTCACAGTGTACTCGTCGAGCCAAGTTGTGACCAAACCCATTGATGAGTGGAAGATGAAGCAGACGCTCATAGACTTCCTAAAGAACTCGCTTTCTGTCTCCATCACCGTCCCTGAAGATGACCTCCAGATCAGACGGCTCAAGGACCTCAAGAAGCGCAAGCGCGACGATCCTGTAGCTTTCGGTACACTGTTCATTCGTGACCTGGGGTTTCTGAACAAGACCAGTAAGAGAAACGATGGCGAGGAAGAAGAAAAGGACGTAAAGGAGTTGGAGAAGAAGTTCCTGGACTGGAGAAAGTACATTGTTGAGAAAATGGATGGGATTGAGCTCAATATCGAAGGGGTCAAGTACAAGCTAAACGTCGACGTTCCGGAGTCTGATAATTTTGAGGCCATGAAGAAAGCTTGGGAGGAGTTTTACGCTTTTGGAAGTCGGGGTTTGTAATGATTTTTATCGGCTCAGAGCCTCAGGTTCAGCTTTGAATTTCGATGGAGTTCAATTTAAGTGAATTTGGTTCGATAAAGTTTGGTTCCTTTTGCAGGGCTTTCGAGGAGTGGGAGGCAAGAGCCTGATACCATAATACTGAGGGGTGCGCCGTCACGCTGGTTTGCAGAGCCCCGGGTTTCTTCGAAGCCTTCAATGCTGGTTACCCATACCATCTTTTCTACATTTGGGAAGATAAGGCATGCCAACGTCTTTGTTCTCCAACTCTATTTCTTATTGTTTTATAGAAATCCTGATGTGTATGAATCATATGTAATTTTTGAACACTAGCTTTTCATCAACTGTACTTTAGTTCTAAACGTTTGCCTAAACACTAATGTTTTGATTGAGCTAAAAAAGGTACTTAACAAAAGAAAAAGAACAGCAAACATGCGAAGCTATATTGCAATCTTCAAGTTTTTTCTCGTTGTCTTTGTTATTGCATTAACGTTATAATGTGCTTTGATTGCCCATTTGAGAATAGCTCATATGTGTATCCTCACTAGTGTCCATGGCGTAATGGCCTTAGCTAATCATATATCATTCCTGTTGCTGCCCCTTTTAAATTACAATCTTTAGGAATCTTAATGTTGCTGAGGACGATGGTCTAGGTAAGGATGCGAACGAAGATGGTGGGGACTTAATTTCAGGTCTCCATTGTAAGATTGTGGTTCAGTTCGAGAAATACCAGGACTTCTATAATACTTTCAAGGTGTTATGTGGCCGCTCATTCCAGAAGGTAAGCGGTTGTTTTTTCTCGTTATACAGTTCTTATAATTTTGTTAGGAGTGATATAAAGAGTGTTGGCAATCAAGCTTGTCAAAATGCTAGATTTCAAGCATTGAGATATGATGCTAAAAGAACCTGTAGTGGAATTTATGTTTGGACTTGGTAATCTGAATTTTTTTTTTTCTTGGTGGTAACTAAACGTTCCTTTCTGTGGAGCAGCAAGGATCTCAATTGAGGGCTGATTATGAGGTTACGTGGGACAAGGATGGATTTTTCCGATTCTCAAGAAATCAACCACATGAAAATAGTAGCAGGATACGGGAAACAGCAACAACACATCACAGAAGTGAAGCTCCAAGGCATCGGCAACACATCTCTCAATTCAGTTCCAACCAAGCTCCCCGCAAGAGGTTTAAGGTTAGAAACTAAATGCAAAAATAAACAAGTAAAACAGTTGGGAGCTTTCTATGTTTCCCAGATGGGTCCAGCTATAATTGGTCCACTGGCCGAACTCAAAGCAACTAGCAAATCTTATGTTTATATGGTTACCATTTATTTACCAAAAAGGAAACTTCACCTTTCTACAAGCCTTTTTGGTGTTCTCTCCAATGGTGACATAAATGTTTCTGTTTGAATACAGGAATAGGGCAGTTGATCTGAAAATTCCTTCTGGAGCTGGGAGTTTGAAGTGTTTGAATATGGTATGAGTCATCGTATGACAGAAAAGACTATAGTCTTGAACTCTCTTATAGCCTTGCACAACATCACAGCAGCACTTTATTTTTTCAGAGTTGTTAAATCGTACATTCAAGTGGGGCTTTTCAACCGTGAAAAAAAGAAATGTTTGCTATTTGCTTCATCATCCCTTTTTTCCCCTAGCGGTTTGTAATGTATCCTTGGTCTTGGGTGTAAGAATTTGAGGGCTTGAATAGTAAGAAATTGAGTAGAGAAGACTATGTTGGTCGATTTGATTTGAATAGTAAGAGATTTGTAAGAACCCGATAAGAGTTTATAATGTTGTCAAGTCTTTATATGTTAAGAACCCCGATAGGAGTTCATATTGTTATTTCATTCTCGCATCATATCTTAACACAAATAACAGTCACGTTTTAATTATTCTGAGCTTTTCTTTTTCGGTTTTGTCATTCAATGAATATGTTTGACTGGTAAAGGAAATTTTGAATTCATGTGTTTGTTGTTTCTGCATTCTAATTATGAATTTTCAATTAGAAAAAGGTGAAATATCTAGTAAGCCCAGTCCACAAAAGTAATGGACAGAACATAGATAGATCAGGACTCTCCATCCTGCTTATCATACACTGTGGCTCACCTGTATCATGTAAATGGATGAGAAACAAAAATGGCATGACAGTTTTCGGCACGTTAATCTTATTTTTCCCTCTCCATTATTAAATTAAAACGAAAAACACAAAATTTATTAAAGGACAATTATTAACCAATCCAAAATCAAATCTATATATAGCTTCTCAGTGCATTGTTGCCTCTATCGCAGCCCCATCTCCCTCTCCCTTCTCAATCTGTGACTTTTGCCTTTTTTGGCAATTACACGTTGTGGCACCTGGCCAGCCTTGCCAAACGCCGTCGTGGCACCTCTTTGACAGAGTGAATAAGCAAAATGCCGCGTTTCATTGGTGCTTTCTTCTGGAGAGACTCTGCTGAAGCTCTTGCCTTCTTAAAAAATGATTGAAAGTTAGTATGAATCCACCACTTTCATAAATTAGGTCACTGTTCATTTGGAATGAACTCACTTTAAAGGTGAGACAGAGTAAAGTAGTACTTGTTGCTAGTGAGAGCAATTCCACTGCAACAATTGTGCAGCACATTATAGACTCACCTTTAAAGTAAGTTCATTATAAACTCTCACTAGCAACAAGTACTAATTTACTCTGTCTCACCTTTAAAGTGAGTTCATTCTAAATGAACAGTGACCTAATTTACGAAAGTGGTTTATCAGTAAAGAGGATTCATGCTAACTTTCAATCATTTTTAAAGAATGCAAAAGCAGGAAGGCAAGAGCTGAGAGCCAATCAATAGGTCCTATCTTGAATTCTTGCGCTTGAGAAGGTGCATATTGCCATATAATTTTGAGATTGTTGCTACATCCCTTCGCTGTCTGGAGTTGATTGACTGTTTCAACGAATGGGATGTTACGATTTCTGCACTGAAACTCACTGTTGTTGAACATCGCGGCCATCTCAAATTCAATGATGTCCTCAATTGACAAAGATATTATTCTGCACATGGAAAGAGCACATGATACCTCCTTTAATTTCACACTTAACTGGTTTGCTTAGCTTGAAAATCTCACCCTGCACATGTTTCATGGACAAGTAAGCTATATAAGTAAATATTAATTACTATATAGAATGTAATTAACCTCAACTTATACATCTTTCTTATGATGTGTCTGAATTTGCAAATGACAAGATTGCAGGAAAACATAGCGCCACTTGGGCATCTTAAGCAATTGGAGTTGTGCTTAGATGTACGTGATGAATATTTTGGATGCTCAGATCTGTTGTGGGTTGTCCTCTTTCTGAAGGCTTCTGCTCTTTTGCAGAAACTTACATATAGGGCGAGTCTGCATATTTAAACATAAATCTTGGGTCTAATTACCCAATTATTGTTTTTTTTTTAAGTACAAGCGATAATTTAAACTATAAGGGAGGGGAATTTCTCACGCACACACATACAACTATGATGCCGTGAGGATTCGAATATGAGATCCATCTCAAATTCAATGATGTCCTCAATTGACAAAGATATTATTCTGCACATGGAAAGAGCACATGATACCTCCTTTAATTTCACACTTAACTGGTTTGCTTAGCTTGAAAATCTCACCCTACACATGTTTCATGGACAAGTAAGCTATATAAGTAAATATTAATTACTATATAGAATGTAATTAACCTCAACTTATACATCTTTCTTATGATGTGTCTGAATTTGCAAATGACAAGATTGCAGGAAAACATAGCGCCACTTGGGCATCTTAAGCAATCGGAGTTGTGCTTAGATGTACCTGATGAATATTTTGGATACTCAGATCTGTTGTGGGTTGTCCTCTTTCTGAAGGCTTCTGCTCTTTTGCAGAAACTTACATATAGGGCGAGTCTGCATATTTAAACATAAATCTTGGGTCTAATTACCCAATTATTGTTTTTTTTTTTAAGTACAAGCGATAATCTAAACTATAAGAGAGGGGAATTTCTCACGCACACACATACAACTATGATGCCGTGAGGATTCGAATATGAAATCTCTGGTCTGCAAGTCAAGGCCCTTTTCTACTGGGCTAAACTCCATTGCCAAGTCTTTATAGCCCAAGAAAATGAAAATGCCCAACCGACATGTCGTTGCGTTTATAACAGCCTTCAAAGCCAAACCCTAAAATTTTGCTCATAATAACTCAGAAAGTTTTCCCTTTCCTCGCAAAGCATCGCTTGTTTCGATCTGGAATTGGATCAATCTCCAACGATGGCTTGTGTGTCGGCTGTTTCGGGTTTTAGAGAAGATGGGTCTGAGGATGAGAAGGAAGTACTTGAGATTGAGGTCAATGAGGTCCTTTGGCGTCGGTTGAAAAGGTATTCTGTTAGTCAATTAACAGTTGTTAATTTCTTTCTACAGTTGGTTAATTAGGGTTTAGGGTTTACGATTTAGGCATGGTGACCTGACTAGTGTAATTAATTATTTAATGACAATTGGCGTAATGAAATGCCTTTACTTAATAGTATATTGGTTTTTTTACGCGGTAATAATCAACATGTACCTTAATTTAGTCATATCAAACTGCACTCAGGGAGGAGCGTAGAGAAGGAAACACTTTGCCACAGGCTGGTGAGAGGAAGAAGGAGGATGCTGCTGGAAAAACTCTCTATTCACTTCCAGCTTCCCGATCTACAATGCGAAGATAGAATTCATTCAGGCAACTGAAGATGGTCCTGCCGCGTCGTAAGTGTTCAACTTCACAGGCTTTGTATGGCCCCATTTTTATGTCCTCATCACTGAATTTTTTGTTACTTGGAGTGGTCTTGGGTGTAAGTTTTTTGAGTGCTTGAGTAGTAAGATATTTGCTGTGTTGGTTGCTTTGATTTGGTTAGCATAGCGGGTGGGAGAATCAGAGATTTGTAAGGGCTAGAGGCAAGGATGATTTCCAAAATTCGTTATTATGTGCTGTAATATCATTGATGGTGCAAAAAAAAAATGTAAAAAAATTACTTTCTATAATTTATAATGTTGTCATGTTGTTGTTTCATTCTCACATCATATCTTAACACAAATATAAAGTCGCTAAAAGATTACACCATTGGAAACCAACATAAACATCCAAAAGACAGCCCCATATACACTTATGACCACAATACTTTTCTTCTTTGTGCTGACTTGAATGAAACTGTGTTTTGGAGTTGTGATCAAAGTTTATTTTCTTATTTTGAATTTGATAGAACACCATCATCCAAACCCAAAACAAATTTGTGTACTCTTTTGGACTTTTCGGTTCATAATAATGCTGTGTATTCTTCCAAATAATTCTTCTTCTTTGGTTTTGGGTAGAGAGGCCGGGAAATAGTTCGTGAAAAGCTTCGAGACAGTTCCTGCCAGTCCAAAACTCGCAAGTGAAGACCCACTTTTTCCACTTGGTTGGTACCATGGGATGTGGCATGCTTATTGAAGCATAAGTTGGGTGTTTGACTTTAGACTACTGCTTATAATTAAGGCCAGTGTTGCTAAATTTAATTTACTGTGCTTTCTTTAGACTACTGCTTAAATAAAGAAGCCTGTTTGCATGCAAGAATGAATCAGGTGAGATTGATTCTAATGTTTCTTGGTTACAAGGGGAATGAATTTCAAGGGAACTACAAGCTGAGGGGCCATTTGGGATTTCTCATGTTATAATCAAATTCTTGGCTAGGCTTTGACAAAATTGGAATTGAGCATGTTACTTGCCCAACAACACACATTAGTGATTCATAGGAAATTAATTAGCACAACACTCTCTGGAAAAATTATTAAATACATAATACTTTAATGGGTTTGGTTGGGTCGGCTTTAGTTCCAACCCTGTAACCCAATTCAATATATAGCGATTTTTTTTTCTTAGACCCAATACCAACTCATTATTAGGCTAACCCAACTCAACTCAAACTTTTTGTGATCGAGTTGGGTGGTTTGGTTGGGTTTGGTTAACTCAAAATTAAACTTAGTTTTTAAGTTTTGGTTCCAATTTGTAACCCAACATATACATAGTGGTTAATGATTTTTTGAACCCAATACCCACTTATTTTTAGGCCAACCCAATATGATCAGGTCGACAGGTTTGATCAAGTTGACGTGAAATTGTGCCCAGCTCTAACATATTATGTCCTCGACCGTTTACAACCAAATATCAACTTTGCTTGCAAGGAGAAATTTTAAGGACCACAAAACTGCATTTCTCATCACTTTAGGCTTTCACCTGATTATGTGCAATCCGGTTCAATATAATTTCATAATCCGGTCTAATGGAATTTCATAATCCGGTCCAATGTAATTTTGACTAGAAATATGAATTCAATCCAGTTAACTAACTAAACCCACCAAAGAGGCCCTAGGTTTCGTAGTCGGCAAGCAAACATATCCCAAACCCGATGTTTAAAGGACTTGAAACAAATTATCCAGACCCAAAAAAAAGGACTAAAACAAATTCAAAATCTCCTAAACTCGCTCGGTAAGTCGGCAAATTTAATCCTAAACCCAATATGTAAAGGACTAAAACTAAAACAAAATCTCCCAAACTCACTAGGTTTGGTTGAGAGCAGGCAAATATACCAAATAGGTAAAGGACTAAATCATCTATAAAAAGCCTTGAATCAGGGTTCCAAAATCGTAAGTTGAGTTCTGCTCATAACTCAAAATTTCCCAATTTTCTATTTCTAGTTTATAGCAAACCATCGTACGTGACCTTTTCTTTTTCGAATCGATCAATCTCCAGTCAACAAGTATGGCTGCTGCCACGGAAGATGTTTTCACGAAGCTCGACCACCTTTCTTTGCTCTCCAAGGTAGTTTCAGAGCTCGAAACTCATATGGGGTTGGGGGGACGTTGTTCTTGTAGAGTTCATCACTGACTTGGGACGAAGCTGCGAGACTGTCGACGAGTTCAATTCCAAATTGCAGGAAAATGGTGCCCAGATGGCGAATTACTTTGTCCGTACACTCTTCACCATCATTCATGCAATTCGTCTTCCGAAGCCTGAGAAGGTCTCGAAGAAAGACAGAGTCTTTGAGCCCGTGAACGAAAATGGAAATTGCAGAGAAGAAGATGAAGAAGATAAATGTGGAGGCATGAGGGATAGATATAGAGATAGTGAACGAGATAGACATGAGAGGCGTAGAAGTGATGAAGACAGGGATAGAAGGCATGTGGATTTAGACACTAAACGTAACAGAGATGGGTGTGAATTGTATACTGTTCATAAGGGTAGGGTGGCGAGAGTGATGGACAATGGTTGCTTTGTTCAGTTGAATGATCAGGGAGGGAGGGAGGGTTTGGTTCATGTTTTGCAGATTTCGAATCGGAGAATTCGTAATGCCAAGGATGTGTGTTGGCTGTTCGCAAATCTCACGGCCTGGTATTCCGGGCCGAGGGGATATGCGGCAACATGTGGCGTCCTTCTTTTGGATGCGGTGCGGTTGTGCGCAGGCGTGCCAGCACGGTCTACCGTGCGTTTGAGAGAGTGATGTGTTTGGGTAAATGGTTAAGTGGTGCGCCTATTCGAGTTTGACTTCTAACCAAACGATTGTGGCCGAGAGAGGAACTGATCTCGGGCGTCAGGTTCACGACTTGAGCTACAATGCCGTTTAGTGGTGGTGTTGATGGTGGGTTTTGGGTGGTGCTCCGGCGCGTTGCTCAGAGAGCGACGGTTGTGTGATATATGGGGTGGATGAGTGGAGTAACAAAGATGGTGCTCCGACGCCTTGAAGGTCAAGGGTCGTATGATATATTGATGAACGGATTTTCCTTACAATCTATCACTACTCATAGGAAAGCAAGTAAAGGTATTGAAAGTGCATTACAAGAAAATATAATTTGCTCCGTGGGAGGCTTTTGGTTTGGTGTTTGAACCCTTTGAATGTAGATTGAGCTTGGTATTTATAGGAAGAGCTCTGGAGGAGTAATCGAGGCTGAAAATCTGCATGGTGGAGCCTGATTAGAGCAAGTGGGTAGTCAAATCGGCATTTGGGATTGTGAAGCATGGTGGTGTGACCCCATAAATCCTGGTAAATCTCGGCTGCCGCCCTGATCGTGGGTTCTGCACCCTTGGCCGTGGAGACGCATTTATTGCTCTGATAGCTGGTGACCTAATCTCTCAAGCTGTGAGAATTTTTTGTGAGAATATTTGCGTCTAATCACTCTGATTCCCATCACCAAACCCTGACTTCAGTCACTTCCCATATTCCCTCGTGCATTAAATGCTTTTTCGTGGCCAGTGGGTTTGCTGCAATAAACAGAGGCATTACTTCATTAAATGAAGTGTGGGACCCTGTTGCCACGTGGCGATGTGACCTTAACATCTTCGGCCATGGCTCTTGCATCCTTCGGCCTCGGCCGATAATACAGCGGTCGAGAGGCCGAGAGGATTCTGCCTTTGCAGCTTTTCTTTTGCCCTTTAGGGAGGCAAATGCCTAATGAAACGCCACGTTTCAGTTCATGGGCAGGTGCTAGGGCCGAGAGGAAGTTCTTTTGGTCATCTCTACGACCGAGATTTATTAGGCACAAACAATGTGGTGAAGAGGGATCAGGAAGTTTATGTTAAGGTGGTTTCGGTTTCGGGTAGGAAGTTGAGTCATTCGATGAGGGATGTTGATCAGCAAACTGGGAAGGAGGAAGTTGAGTCTTTCGATGAGGGATGTTGATCAGCGAACTAGGAAGGATTTTCTTCCCTTGGAGAAGGAGAGCTCGGAGGGTGACGGTCTTAGGGGATTTGAACCCCTCCCATTTTACTCATCCAACACCTTAACCACCGTATCACTTATGTTCTTGTGATAATATGCGTAAATATTTATATTTATATGGGTGGTATGTTAACAATTACATGCAAAACTATTTTGGGGACTTATGCAAAACTACTCTTCACAATACAGTTACTCTACACATAGAGATGATGAAGATAGTGAAAAATTTGAACCTCATAGGAACTCTATGTGGTACTAAGTCACTTATGTATCTTACCATGCAATGTATAAAGTGTAAAATATTGTAGTAAATCATTATATATAAATGATTATGGTGTGTTTAATCTTTTTTCATTAATTACTACATATTTTCTACACTCACAGTGTTTGCCAGCTCGCTGTATAATCAACTTAAATAAGTTAAATCCATCATGCAATGCATTTCCTTCTAATTTTTTGTGATAAACTAATAGATAATTGACTAAATAAACATTCTCCAAAGTTTCAATAAAAATTTCCAAGTTTTTCTTACAATTTCTGTGGTTTTTATTCAATTTTTATCGATATCGATAATATCCCGATATTTCCATCGAAATTTTCGTGTTTTTGGATTACCGATATTTCCGATATCATCGATATTTTAGACATTGCCCATCAGTGGTCCACGTGATTGACCCTAGGGTTGTAGGGAAAACCTAATACAATCTAGTTCAGGGGCTGGAAGTAGCAGGAATTGAAACCATTTCGAAGAGAATGGCAGAGAATCGCTGTAGGAGAGTCGGACTTAAAGGTCCTGGAAAATGCTTCCGCCTCTATGAGTCTGTATACCATAATGCGATGCTCCCTTGTGCTTTTCCACATATCAAGAGAAGCAACCCAGTGTACACTTTACTTACATTGAAAGCTGTGGGGATTGATCCGATGGATGATTTTATTGATGCTTCCCCACACCAGGCAGTTATGTCTTGATGTAGAACAAATGGCTGAATGGATTGAAGAAGAATTGGAGTGAAGAAGGGAAAAAGGACGCAGTGAGAATTTACAGATTTGGTGTCCGAGCTTTGATTGGGTCGCATAATACCTTCTCGAAAAGGGAACGACGTCATGAGTCCAACACATTGCTTTGCTATGATATATGGTGGATTTTGGGCTTCTGAGGTCGTTTGGCCTTCCAAAAGTGCATTTAAAGATTGTATTCAATTTACAGACTTTCCTTTTATTTTATGTTAAGTTTTCAATAACTCCCCAGGGCAGTTCAATGGGTGAGAACAATGTATTTAGTCAGCCGTTATGCTTGGTTGAACTATTCTGAATTTTTATGAAATAATTCAAAGAGAATTTCTCTCTAAATTCATGGTGGATTCCAGATTATTGTTCTTCAGGGTTTTCGCTTGAAAACCTATTTGCTTGTGCTGCGTCATGTCTTTAGTGGAACTGCTCAAGGATCTAGGAGCGTTGGATGAGGAGGAGCAGCTGACCGATTTGGGCAGAAAAATGGCAAAGTTTCCTCTGGATCCACCCTTATCAAGGATGTTAATTTCAAGCGTCGAGAATGGTTGCAGTGATGAGATGGTGACCATCATTGTAATGATCAAGACATGAGATTTATGGCGGATAGGAGGAGAACAAGGAGAGGCGGATCATTTCTTGCACAGAGGGGGAGGCTTTCAGATGTTTATGGTAGTCTGTAAAGCTTGGGAAGCTTGGAAGTTATCAGTAAAATGGTGTTAAGAGAATTTTGTTTTGCCACAAGCTTTCAGGAGAGCTCAAGATTTGAGAAAGCATATCCTCAGCATCATGGAGGAGTATGTGCTTGTATTTTATCTTGTTGTGTATGTTGTGTTTTTCTGTTCTTTTTTCTTTTGGTTATTTTCTGGTTTCACTTGTGCATTTTCAGGTGTTAGCTTCCAGTGATCAGTGGAGGAAATGATTTTACAAAGATTGGCAAGGTAATAACGGTTGGCTTCTGGATCCCGCGGGGTATCTAGCTTTGATTGAAGAGGATAATTGATGAGGAGAAGATACCAACAATTCATGAAACTCCTCATGTGTTTTTGATATCACTATGTTATAACAGGGTCATAGGTTTGCAAAGGATATAGTATATGTTTGCACCATGATCAACCGAGCATATCTAGCATCAAAATGATTAGCACCAAGGCAGACACGCCTTTTCCCCAAAAGGGACACACAGACAAATCCCTAGAAAGTGACTGACGTCATCACCTTCCAACATGCCGAAGGAAGACATTCTTCCGAAGCGACAGCCACTTGCCGAAGCTCCAGACTGCCGAACCTAATCTTTAGGGACACGTGTCACAACCACAACAATTTGCACAAAGTCCCACATCGAAACTTTATGCATGACTCCCATTTTCACCTCCATATAAATAGGGAATAGTGCCCAAGTAAAGAGGATAACTATTTTCTCACATTTACTATTACTCTATCAAAATTACCACAAATAGCTGACTTAAGCATCGGAGAGCCTTCGGCAGGCACCACACCGGTGTTCGAAGCTTGACGACTGCTTCTTCCTCCTTGTCTTCTGCAGGTTCCTCAGTCACCAAAGGTCCACACCTTCTTCCATGTTGAAGACCCAAGACTTCTCTACCTAAGTTGACCCTCCCCAAAAAGAGCATCAACAGTTTGGTGTCATAACCTACTGAAGCAAAGAAGAACCTGTCATATTGCTCTTGTCGAAGCCTTAGCCGGAACCCAAGGGCCTAACCCCCTTCCGAAAGTCAAGACCACGACACCCCGGCCTCCTTGCCGAACGGCAAGGATCGCGCCGTATGCCATAAGGCCCGCAAACTTGTTCTCAATAGCCAACACTTATGCCTTAACAAACCCTAGCCCCTTGCTGGATGGTAAAGTTGATATCAAAGGCCCAAATGCCTCACAACAATTCCCTCTTGTCGAAGGCTCATGCGAGGCTCCAAGCCAACATGGGCTCCTACCGAATGTCATGGTCCTTGCCAAAGGCCTACTGAGCTCACACAACTCTTACCATGCCTTCAAAAGATTATTGCAACTTCTGGCCCGCCAACTTAGGGGACTAGGGAACACCCTACGGCTCTTACCAAACCAAGAATGCTCGGTCATAATTATGCAAAAAAAAAACTCACAAGTTCCCAACCCAGAAGTTACTTCTTGATCGCGAACTTAGGGGACTACTGTTTACACCATAATTAACCAAGCATATCCAGCATAAAAATGACTATCACCGAGGCAGACACACCTTCTCCCCTAAAGGGACACACAGACAAATCCCTAAAAAGTGACTGACGTCATCATGTTCCAACATGCCGAAGGAAGACACTCTTTCGAAGCGGCAGCCACCTGCCGAAGCTCCGGATTACCGAACCTAATCTCCAGGGACACGTGTCACCACCACAACAATTTGCACAAAGTCCCACATCGAAACTTTGTGCATGACTCCTATTTTCACGTCTCTATAAATAGGGAACAGTGCCCAAGTAAAAAGGGTAACTATTTTATCACCTTTACTGTTACTCTGCCAAAATTACCACAAATAGCTGACTTAAGCATCGGAGAGCCTTCGGCAAGCACCACACCGGTGTCCGAAGCTTGACGACTGCTTCTTCCTCTTTGTCTTCTGCAGGTTCCTCCATCACCGAAGGTCCGCACATTCTTCCATGCTGAAGACCAAAGACTTCTCTACCTAAGTTGACCCTCCCCAAAAAGAGCATCAACAGTATATACTGATAAACCAGCCAGATATTCAACAAAGTTCAAAATTGAGATTTAAGTCGTTGAAACAGATTTGTATTTGATATGTTGTTATTGTGCAGCCAGATTTTTGTGGTTTTCTTTTTAATGTTTTTTACTGAGTTTGAGAATAGGAATTGTTTGTAAATTCCAACTCTTGTAAATTCAAACTCTTGGAATTGTTTGTGGTTATCCTTTTGGTCGACTTAATTTGTTGACTGTCAATCTTGACCTGTTTGATATGATTTCATGTTTCTTCTAGTGTTGATGGAAAGTAGGAGATCTTTTGTTGTTGGACGAGTAGCAATTACTGAAGGCGGAGAAGAGCTAAATTTGAGTTCAGGAGTGTATAAATCTAGAGTTTGTATTTTGTTTATTAGCAATAATCTGTTATGAGTCCTTAATGTGTTATGATTATTTGATACTCTTATGATGTGTTTACTAATCAGGAATTGGAATTCTCATCAGGAATTGAATTCCACATAAGGAGGATTCCTGCGTTTACTTCACATCAAGGAATTGAAAAGTAAGTGGGGCCCACACAAAATAAGGAATTGAATTCCTGATTTTGGAGGAATTCAATTCCTTAGTGGGAGTTGGTATTCTAATTCCTGGAGAATGAACCCATTAGGAATTCATTTTTTTTACCCATTATATCCTCACACAATATTCAAAATTTTAAATTTGTCATCTACTTTAACCCAACAACGAGGACATTTGAGTAATTAGTGCCACTCCTACCCCAATTCCATGTGGTTTAGTGAACAACTTCAATAGGAATATGGAATCTAACTCCCCTCAATCCATATGGTTTAGTAAAAACTTCAATAGGAATTCGGAATCTAATTCTCCTCAATCAAATTCCTCCTCAATTTAATTCATCCTTAATTCAATTCCCCCTAATCCAATTACAAATTAGTAAACATGCCATTAGATTAAAAAAAAACATGATAGTTTTAAAAGCGCTTTTTAGCAAAAGGCTCAATAAAATATCAAAATCACTTTTATCGGCGTAAACACTGTCAAACGAGCCCTAAAGGGGTTGCAATCATTTTTATGGGCAAAAGCCTTTTGCAAATATTGTGCATATTTAGATGTCTGGTGTATACATTGGTTAATGGGATCAGAAAATATCAATCATATGTCTTAAAGAACATATGTTACAGAGGAAGAGCTAGATTTAACAAGGACAAAATAGTAAAACCGTCAGTTAAAATAGAAGATAGTAATTTAAAAAATTATAAAATGAGCAGCATACCGTTTCGTATAATAAAACATTAAATAAAAAAAATAAAAAAATAACGTGACAGCATTCCTTTCCTTAGTAGAAGAAGGATACTTTTGAGAATACAAAACACGCGTTACCCTTGCCAGAAACAAGTACAAGAAGTTCCCAACCAACATCCTTGTTTGAGTTCCATCTCTGTAAGACTACTGTCTCTTCGATCTCCTTAGGTTTTGTCGTCTTTTTCTTTTTTCTGCTTGTTGTTAAGAAGATTCGGATAGGGTTTTATTTATATTTGCTATTTTTCTCCGCTGCTTTTTGGTTCGTAATATGTTTGACTGGAAAAGAATTTGGATTCCATATGTTTGATGTTTTTGTATTTGATTATTATTTTTCAATATCGTATATATAGGAACAAAATTGAAATATTTATTCAGCCCAGTTCAGAAAATCACTGCACAAAACATAGATAAATCTCGACTCTCCATCCCGTTTCTCGTACTCTAGCTCTCCTGTGTCACTAATAAATGGATGAGATACAAGAATCTTTAGAGGTATGGAAGTTTGCATTTTCCCTGCTTTACTTCTACTTTCTCCGTGCTATGTCTATGTGATGTCGATGTGATCACATTTTTAATTAGAAAAACTCAATTGTGTGATGTCTATGTGATCATAATAAATGGATGAGATACAAGAATCTTTCGAGGTATGGAAGTCTCCATTCTAATTATTGAGAGTAGAATTTTCTTTTAATGTATTGAATGTTTAAGAATTTTAATCTACTTAGTTATTTTCTCGTACAAATTCGAACTCTGTTGTGTTACTCTCAAATTTGTTATTAAGGCTTTGTTGTGGTAACTTGTTTTTTATATTTTATTTTTTGCATCTACCAGGCTAACAGGGACAGGATCAGTGAATTACCTGATTGTATTGGTTCCTATATTATGTCTAAGTTAACAATCAAAGATTTGGTTACAACCAGCGTACTGTCAAAAAGATGGCTAAGGATGTGGAAATTAAGGAGAAATCTTGTTTTTGATATTCCCAACATGTTCAATATTGATCTTCCACCTCTGTGGGAAGGTGCTGGGCTGGATATGGACCATGAATTCCTTGATCAGGTTACTGATGAATATGTGAGACGAGTTGACCAATTCGTGCAGACCTTCCCAGGGCCAAAGATAGATTCTTTCAGGCTGACCCACTATATTGATGTTCACAAGTATGTTTCTTTTGTTGACAAATGGGTTGCTCGTGCAATTGCAATGGGAGTTGAAGAGATTGCTATGCTCTCGTACCCATCATTTACTACATTTTATGTGCCCAAGATGAAGCGGCCCTACAGCTTTCCCTTTCGGCTTTTACCAGTGTGTAACAAAAAATATTTGAAGCATTTGTATCTGGATAGTTGTAATCTTATGCCATCTTCTCAATTTTTCGCTGCATTCTACTATTTGATAACCCTTCGACTGGAAGCTACATTGGTTGGTGAAGATTTTATGATTTCTTTGCTATCCAATTCTCCATTCCTTCAAGTCTTGCGCTTGAAAAGCTGCAAATTGCCATCTGCTTTAGAGATTGTTGGCCCATCCCTTCACCACCTGGAGGTGATTGACTGTCGTTACAAAGGGAATGTTACGATTTCTGCCCCGAAACTCACTGTTTTTGAACATCGCAACCTGTTGGAGTTGGAGAATATCTTACCCCTTAATGCTCCTCAATTGAGAAAGATATTCTTCCACGCATGGGAAGAGAGGATGATACCTCCTTCAATTTCTCACTTCACTGGTTTTGCTCAGCTTGAATATCTCAACCTGCGCATGACTTCTGGAGAAGTAAGCTATATAAGAAATTATTTTTTAACTATAGATATAGAATGTAATTAACCTCAACTTATGATATCATACATCTTTCTTATAATGTGTGTGTCTGAATTTGCAGATGCCAAGATTGCCGGGAAACATAGCGCCACTTAGGAAACTTAAGCAATTGGAGTTGTCTGTAGATGAAGGTGCTGCTCTAGGGTGCTCAAATATTTTGTGGGTTGTTCTCTTTTTGAAGGCTTCTCCTCTTCTGCAGAAGCTTACATATAGGGTGAGTCTGCATATTTAAGCATAAATCTTTGGGTCTAACTACCCAATTATTAGTCTGACAATATTAACAGCACACTCACTATTTACAATGAAAATCACAACTCACTTGATCACTTGCACACAAGCACTTGCTGTCTCAGAGGACATTATTGTTATGTTGCATGGTCTTTCGACTCCATTATGCATGGGTTTTTCCTTTATCTTTTAATTATTAACTCAATATCTACTTGAAATTCGTTGAGAGTGTTATCTCACATCCAAAATGGAAGCATTGCATGAGTAACTTAAAAGGATTTTAGGCCTCCCTACCCATTTGCAATTTATTTTCATTGGTTTGGATTGTGAAACTGATTGTCAATCAGTTAATTGTTAACTCAAAATCTATAACTGAACTAACCTTTGATTTGTTTTGATTGTAAAACTGATTGTAAATCATTCTTCCTGCAGCGTCCGGAATCACCTCCTGGCTTCTCTGAAAATGAAAGAAGTGAAAGATGGCAACCGGAGGAGTTCACCCATAATCAACTTAAAGAAGTTGAAATAGCTGGATGTGTAGGTAATTGGTTCGAAGTTGAGCTTGCTATTTGCATGCTGCAAAATGTGCAGGGTCTTGAGCAAATGGTCTTGAACCCCTCCCAAAGGTACTATTACGGAGGTGGGAGTTGGATTGATGATGAACAAAGCACGTGTCTCGGTGCATCTCGTTATTGGGCAGAGGGGCCGGGAAATAGTTGTTGAAAAGCTTCGAGACAAAGTTCCTGGCAGTGCAAAACTCATATTGTTATGACCACCTATTTCGACTTCTACTAGGTTTGTGTTGGTCCTATGGGATGGGGCCCAAGTAATTTCCCTAAAATGAAAGACATCAAATATATGTTTATGATTAAAATTTTAAAAAAAAACTATATAAATACACAATGACATTAGATGTCAAATATAACCAATAATGCACTTTTAGCTCATTTTCATTCTAACCAAGGTAAAATCTAAGAAAACACAAAAAGGAAGTAAAAAGCTATAAAATGTCAAGAACTAACTCAAAATAATATGTGAATAACATGAAAAATCATGTGTAAAAATGAACCGAACACTCGGCCCAAGTTTTTGTGCCATGCCGAAGCACGGCCCATTAATATTCGTGCTCGTGCCGTGTCGTGCCTCATTTAAACGGATTGAACTCATGCCGTGCTGGGCCTACCCGTCCCGTTTGACACCTCTATTCACAAGTATGATTCTGTTGTTGAAAATGTTTATCCCATGCAGTTGCAATGGGAGTTGAAGAGATTGCTATGCTCTCGTACCCATCAATGGGATGTGAAGATATTCATGTGCTATCGTACCCATCACTTATGAAGCTTGACAAATACAAGAGTAAGGTGATCAAGGGGAAGCTGCCCTACAAGTTTCCCTTTTGGCTTTTACCTATGGATAAAAATGCTTCAAACTCTTTGAAGCATTTACATTTGGACAGTTTTATTCTTAGACCATCTTCTCAGTTTTTTGCTACATAATGAGGGTTATCTAAGGCCTTAGATAAGGACTTATCTTTTAACCATTAGATACAACTAACTAATTTGATATAGCGGCTAATCAATTTGATCTAATGGTTAAGAGATATAACCTCATCTAATGACATTATCAAGAATTCTACCACGTTTCATTGGTGGTAGAGTTCAATTGCCCAATTTTTTTCTTTTTTTAAGTACAAGTGATAATCTAAACTACATGGGAGGGGAGTTTCTCACACACACATACAACTATGATGTTGTGGGGATTCGAACCCGAGATATGTGGTTTGCAAGTCAAGGCCCTTTTCTACTGGGCTAGACCCCGTTGGCTCCATTACCCAATCTTTGTTGCCCAAGAAAATGAAAATGCCCAAACCGACATGTCATTGCATTTATAACAGCCTTCAAAGCCAAACTTAGGCAATGGGTCGAATCGGGGATGGGTATGTCATTCCCATCCCCATCCCCTTTAAGCATTTTTCCCCCATCTCCGCATTCATACCCGCAATATTCTAAGCGGGGATTCTCCATCCCCGCCTTCATTGGGGAATGGGTTCCCCTACCCGCCCCATTACTAAAGAAAAACCAATAAAAAATATACTTTGTCGAATGAGAAAAAAAAACACTAGGCGGCTGATTTGATTTCCTATTAGTACTATACTATATTCGCCTTATTCGCACAGTTGAATGTTGAAGTCGAAGAGATTTCCTATTATTATATTATATAATAATAGGAAATCTCTTTAATAATATATTTATATAATATATATATAGTTATTCTCTTATCCGGATGTCCGCACGTTATTATCGTGCGGATCCTATTGTAAACAGGCAGGAAAACAGAGAGGGGTAGTACAAAATACACTGCGTCCGCACGATAATAACGTCCGGATGTCCGCATAAGAGAATTTCTGTATATATATATATATAGTCCTGATCTCTTGGACTACAAGGGTCCAAGAGATTTGTGGTCACTCACCGTTGGATGTAAATTCAACGGTTCACTTACTCTTGCACTCCTTTTAAGAAACTTTTTTGAACCATTAGTATCCAACGGTGGGTGACCATAATCTCTTGGACTCCTGTGGTCCAAGAGATCGGGACTGTATATATATATTCTTAACAGGTCGGGTTTGGGTTGGGGATTAAAATATCATCCCCGCCCCTTCCCGATCACCATACCCGATAATTTTCCCATATCCGTTTTTTGTCCTTCATACCCGACCCATTAGGGTCAAAGCCCCCTGAAGACCCTTACCCACGGGGAAAATTTCCATCCCTAGCCAAATCCTAAAATTTTGCTCATAATAACTCAGAAAGCTTTCCCTTTCCTCGCAAAGCATCGCTTGTTTCGATCTGGAATTGGATCAATCTCCAACGATGGCTTGTGTGTTGGCTATTTCGGGTTTTAGAGAAGATGGGTCTGAGGATGAGAAGGAAGTGCTTGAGATTGAGGTCAATGAGGTCCTTTGGCGTCGGTTGAAAAGGTATTATGTTAGTCAATTAATAGTTGTTAATTTCTTTGTACAGTTGGTTAATTAGGGTTTAGGGTTTAGGGTTTAGGCATGGTGACCTAACTAGTTTAATTAATTATTTAATGACAATTGGCGTAATGAAATGCCTATACTTAATAGTATATTGGTTTTTTTATGCGGTAATAATCAACATGTACTTTAATTTAGTCATATGTAACTGCACTAAGGGAGGAGCGTAGAGAAGGAAGCACTTTGCCACAGGAGGAGGGTGGCTGCTACAGAACCCTGGTGGAGAACCAGCAGGTTTATATCCATCCAAGCAGTGCTCTGTTCCAGAAACAACCAGATTGGGTCATCTACCATGAGCTGGTTATGACCTCAAAAGAATACATGCGCGAGGTGACAGCCATAGACCCAAAATGGCTGGTGGAACTGGCACCAAGGTCCTTCAAATTTGCAGAGGCTAACAAGATGAGCAAGCGCAAACGTCAAGAATGCATCGAGCCGCTATATGATAGATACAATGAGCCTAACTCTTGGCGCCTCAGTAGGCGTCGTGCTTGAAGACTGATATATATATATTGGTCTTTATCTTGCATTGATTTCTCTGTAATGTAAAAGGAGATTAGCATTATGCTTTGGTATAGAAAATATAATACATTACCACATGTTGAAGTTTGAATTTCTAAGCTTAGTAGTATACTTCGGAAGAAATGTGAACACCCCCAAACCAATCACCAACTGTTTACTCTTTGTTAATTAATTGCATGTCTAATCGGATTTCCATTTTTCAAAATCTGAAACAGACAAGTATTATTGTTCGTTTTCATTTGTTAAATTAATCGTACACTTGAGTGGCATTTCAATCTTTTTTGTTACGCGGAGTGGCCTTTGGTTGTAAGAATTGCATATCACAGTTGCAGACAGAGCATAGTTGGTCATACTTTTTCAAACTAGTTCCATAAAAAAACCAATTCATACTTGCTAGAATAAGGTTTGTTTTTATGTCTCACTGAGTGTTACATTGGCCAACTGTTACCATTGATAAGCCTCATACTTTGGCTGAATCCCATTATTTTAGAATTAATGTTGTTTTCTGGTTGAACCAACCTCCCATGATTGTATGCAGTCTAACAGTGCCACCGGAGATCCTTACGTCGTGCCGTGGTGATAACTTTCCTCTTCTAAAGTCTTTGTTTGTTTAGCTTCTGCCACTCCTCCTCTTAATTAAAGTAGATGCCTTGACTGAGTTCTTAAGATGCAAGTTTTGATATAAAAAAAAAATTTCTTCTTTTTTTTATTATTTAAGCGTAGTGATGTTGGCACTCTCAATTTAGCTTTCGCCACTCCGAATTGAATCACACTCACAAGTAATGTCATATGCTAAACTGGAAATGTAAAAATCGTTGTTCTTGTTTAAACCATCGTTGGTCCGGCTCTTGATGGAAGTACATGATGTATTCCCCATCATTTACAAAATAAGTAAACAGGCCATGGCTGGTTGTGGATCTTAAAATTTGATGATTTTGGAAGAATTGTGAACCCCCTAACCAATCACCAAAGTGCTTCCTCAAAGTTCACTACAAGTGTAATCTGAAAAAATCAAATTTTGTTGTTCCTTTATCATATTCTAAGCAATATGATCTTGAAGGTTGATTAATTTAATTGTTGTGGGCAAGAATTTCCTTCTTAAATTCCCAAGAAAATTTGATATGGTTATTACCATTAAATAATCATCGTGGTACGCAGCATCTCATGGTAGAGGAGAAACGTGAAAATTGTTTGTTTAAAAAGAAGAGGAGAAACGTGGAGTGGAGTGGATTTAGTTAAGTATATTATAGCAAGGCCAAAGGAGCTCCAGATTTCTCAAGGATTTGCATTCAATAAAGGAAAATGCTAGGCTTACCACATTTTTCATACCACATTTATACCATCTCTCTAATAGAGGTGGGCCCCATTGTATTGGTGGGCTCCACCTCTATTAGAGAGGTGGTATGAATGTGGTATGAAAAATGTGGTAAGCCTAGCATTACCCTTCAATAAAATAATCTGTTGTAGCTCTCAGCTTCATTATGACGTGATTACAATATATTTTGTGATGAGTTTGATATCTAGTTGTGGTAATTCTCGTTGTTACACCAAAACTTTTATCGTAGGTGTGTTGACCCATTATAAGAGATCGTTGTACAGCTCTTAATGTTTATCCAAAAGAAAAAAGGTTATCTAACCTCGAATTGGTTAACATTGTGTTTTTTACTATTATAAGCAACGCCACACAATTATACTCATGATGATAGCTTAATCCACAACCTAATCCTTAATTAGCTTTTTTGGGGAAATAATTCAGCATAAAACTAGAAGATCAAGACATAATTAACAACATAATCATGGAATTACCAGGCAGTTTTCACTGATTACATCTTACAAAACCTCTATGCCATAAAGAGCTAACATGACATGGGCTACTATCTACATAACTCATAATTTACATTTACAAACATGTCAAACAGAGAGTTGAATTTCTAAGTTTCAACCCAACCCCCTACAAGCAACCAATTAAAAAACAGAGCTTGTACATACAGAGCAGCCAAATATTGACCCCAAAAAAAAAAAAGGAAAAAAGAAAGAAAGAACCAATTAACATATGGAGAAATTCACAAGTCAATCGCATCATGATCATGGTCACCAGCTTTTCCGGTGACCGTGCTGTTGCGAACGGGGCGTACCGGCGGTGGGGCTACTACTCTTTGGAGAAGACAAGCCATGATGATCGGCTGCCGTCTTATTATTGTTGTCACTGAATCTTCTAACGTGGTCTTTTTTCTTTGATGCTCTTCTTGTGCTGCTGCTGCTCTCTTTCAACGTTGGCAATGCATACCAACCAATAGAGGTGCATAGTATAGCAACAGATCTCCCGAACACAGTCAACAGCACCAAAATGAATACCATAACCACTGGCAAATAAAAAGATGGCCTTTTCCACAAGCCCAAGCTCATGTCACTGAAACTCCATGACCAAAACGCCCTCCTCTTCTTATCATCAGTCTTGGGTTGCTCCTGGGACACTTCCTTGGTGGGTGTTGAGGGCTCAACGGTAAATTTATCGAGTGGTGTTACATGCTTTTCTTTTACCAGTGCCTGATGTTGATCAGGCTTGCTGATTTTGTTGTTGTTTTGGTCTTCCTTTTTGTCCTTCACTTTGATCACGATCGGGACGGGGACGTCGTCGTTTGAGTCCTTGAACACAAAGCGGACAAACGATATGTCCTGTGGGGGCGTTTCTGCATAAATCTTCTGCCTTTTCTCTTCAAGATCAGCTAAGAGTGCAGAGAACTTGTCAAGGCCGCGGCTTGAGTATGGGTTTTTGCTGTCCTTGCTGCTTCTTCTGGACGATCTTCTTGGAGTTGAACAAGGACTGGAACTTATGGGTTCATCGTGAACATCTTCTGGGTGGAAAAAGCCACAGCTGAAAGGGCTCAACATTTGAAATCAACTGAGTTTTTGAGAGAGAGAGAGAGAGAGTTTGCTGTTGTGGGTTTTTTGTGAGTGGGTTTATATATATATATATATATATGGTGATTAAAAGGAGCTGCTATTGACCAAAAAAAAAAAAGAGAAGGCAGATCCAAACAAAGCATAATCAATTGAAGGTTTGACAAAACATAATCCTGTAGAAGCTTCTTCCGTCCATATGGATTTTGGTGTGGTTTGACTTCTTGGGGAGGAGGAAAAGAAAACAATGCCACGTATACACGTTCGGATTGTTCTTTGCAAATGCAAACCAAGGATATCTATAAAATATTTAAAATTTGAGTTGTTATCTGGTCTTTATGCTTGGAGAAGAAGGGTATTATTGAATTGAACTTTTACCCGGTCTTTATCCAATTTTTTAATAAGAATATATTTAGTTTTTATTTTTATCAATAAATGTTGAGTGACGCGCTTATATTTGTCATCTAGAAGGGCCACTGGCCCACTGGGACCATGAATTATTAGTTGGAGTGGAAGGTTGGCTCGGTTGTTTTTGGTCAACAAAAAGCAAGTGTTAAATTTCACACAAGAAAGAAGCATATCTTCTTTTTAGTTAGGTTGGCGTTGGCATGGGAAAAACAAGTGGTTTATACCTTTTATTCTATCAACTAAATATGACATTAAAATTAGTTTGATTTATGACTTCTCATGCTTTTATTAACACCTACCGTCGCTACCGAATCAAAATAAGTATATGAATCTTTAATTCAATACGTGAAAACTCATAATTAGATTGACTAGAGGGGAGTATTAGCCTAATCTTTCTTGCTTTTATTTATGACTCTCCCAATTCATAACTTCCTTCGTTTGAATGTCTTAATGTGTTAAATTACCTAAGTGTTTTCATATTAATTTGCAGTTAAGAGCAATAATTGCAGTTATTTAAGAGGAAAAATGAGCAATCCATCTCAGTGCTTCCGTCATTGCTTTCTCCATGCAATAAATCAATAGAATCTGTGTGAGGAAGCAAAACTTGTGCAATACGCATGTTTTTTTATTCATTAGATGGATGGCATCACCCGTGAGATCTTTCAAATACAATATATTAATGAAAAATCAAAATGTTTAGTTAATAGGATAATAATCTCAGCCTTAATCTCATTGTTGAAAAACCAAAGCGTTTCATTTGAATAGGATTAAGCTAATCCTTAGCTAAATATGTCATTATGTTTTTTTTCTTTCCCCTTTTTAATATGTCAAAATATGAATGGTATTGCTGCCCATGGATTGATTTGAATATATATATATATATAAAATATTTGAATTGAACCATTCATTTCGTGGAATTTATTATTTAACACATGAATCTAATTTCATTTCATAGCTGATAGCTCCACATGCAAGAAAGAAAGATTTATTTTTATTTATTTATTTATTTCCATTGTATTTACTTCCGCCTGCTGCAGAATATAAAAATCTAAAAACATCAAAATAGATATTCATGATGATGATGAGGTATGCTTAGACGACTAGAACAAGTCAACTTGAGCCGTGAGCGACACGGCAGACCATTTCCACGCGCTTGATCGAATATAAATTAAGAAGAAAATTACAAGATTAATCATCAAATTAAAATAAATTCGCCCAAATTTTTAAAAATAATGGAAATCATATATTTAGGACGAAAGTGGCTACAATTTGTTGCTCTACACTACTCTCGATGACTGTTGTCATCTTTTCTCTTTCTTCTTTTAGAAATTATATATTCGAATGTTCTTAATAAAACTTGAAGTTTTGAGAAAGATAAAAAAAAGGAAATAATAATAATAATAAAACACATTCCCGGCATTTCCAATTCGGAGCGGGGCCCGACATTTCTCACCTGCAAACATTTATTTTCCAGAAGTCTATAACATCTAGAAGTTCAAAGGCATCTTCTTCAGCAAAGCAGATTTCCTTTGTGTAGTGTATACGCACGCTTTTACATGAAGAAACTTTGTTATTGTTACCAAAAAAAAAAAAAAGAAACTTTGTTATCAACTCACTACTATGTAAGGATAGAGAGTGAGTAGAAGTTATTAAATTCTTAATAAGATCATCGACATAATCATTGGCGGTGCATAATTCAATCCAGCCCCCATAAAACCACAGTTTTGTTTTGTTGTTATAAAACCAATATAATCATATTGCCCAATCTCTAGTAAATTAATTAGTTCTATGTAAGTTGCATTTTCACATGAATAAACACGGCATGACTAAGAGACATACATATATCATACAAAAATAGCCACGCAAGAGCGAATTGCCTAATTTCATCAACACAAAGCATCTGCCACCTTGAGAGGTGCCTGACTCTTAATCATGAGGCAGAACGGGGGAACAATACAATGCTCACCAGAATCATTTTCTCACAAAATGAAGATTGTCACTCTCCAGAGTGTTCATCATCATCAAAATTTTCGTCATCCTTCATGTACTTCTCTTGCACCGCTGCAACTGTGAGCTACTTTGTTAAGCAAAACTCATTAAAAATACACCTTCCGATTTCTTTGATTTATATGCAACATGAATATTGAAATACAAAACCACAAAGTTCAGATGTATCAACTAATCAAAAGAACTTCCTGGACATCAAGTTTTTTCAATTCAAATAAAATGCAGCATTACCTATCTGGATATGAGGATCTCATACACATTCTGGTCCACCTAGATGTAAATGTAGAAACCCGGTGACTAGGTTGACTAGTTTAACTCATACCCAGCCAAACAAGTCCAAGTGATGGTAGATCGGAATTATTCTTTCAGATACTTAAACTAGTGGTTTAGTAGGACATTTTCCACAAAAAGTGGACAAATTTGATTCTAAATTATGCTACAGCTTGAAGCATGCATCAAAAAGTGGACAAGATAAAGGAATAAGAGAAAACATATTATTATAGAATCAAATTAAAAGGATATCTGTAATAATCCCAATCAACAGGACCAACTGCAATCTTGCTGAACTCTACTGCGCTCGCTTCTATGCCAGCAAAAATGTATCCATTGCTCTTGTCTATCAGTTTAACTAGATTCCCCACACTCTCTTTATCCTGTAAAGTAGCAACTGACTTAAAACACAGAGTACAAAAAGTTCACGACGTCAGGAGTAAAGTGAAGAGGGATTGGCATGCCTGAATATCTAAAGTTGCAAAATTGACAAGACTGTAATCTTCTACTACATCACAAATCTCCTTAGTGAGCTTTCTGCAATACAAACAATAAACATTTTATTAATATCAAAGCAAGCTTTTCATAACTTTTCCACATGATCAAATGTTAATCACACCTGTACTTAGCCGAGCGAGGATCCTGATCAAGACTGTATTGAAGATAAGATAGATTCTCTACATCTGTATAAAAATCAAGGTTGAAAGCTGCAGACATCAAAAAGAAAATAGCAAAAATTAGCAAGGATAAGGAGCACCAACATCAGTATCAGATAATTTAAATGTTATGTATAAGAAAGGAACAGGAAGAAAAAAAAAGAACCAGAGCCATACCTAGCTTTCCATAACTCTCTATTAAATCAATCTTAGACAAGACATTTATGTGTGGGAGTTCCATATGAAGCATGGTTGATAAAGAGAGAAGCAATGCACTAACATACTTCCCAGGGTCACTGCAAAGGTGGGCATCAACCAAATGAACTGCAGTCAACTGCATCAAATCAGGAAGCCATCAAGATAACAAGCACAAGGCACATCAACTATCATGGTCCTGGTGAATGGTGCAAGCTACAAAGATTGGAAAAGAAGATTATAACATACCCTGAGGTTTAACTTCTTTACAAGTTTCATGATAACATTCTTGGCACTGGAGTGAAGAAAGAATAGTTCGACTTGGCCAGGGAAATCAAAGAGAAAGTAGTGATCTGCAAAGTTAATAACATTGTTAGGCAGCAAAATACAACTGTTATTTCATCACTGCTCAGGGGACAACATACAAGAACACTAACATGCCATTCCTTGCAAACAAACTATTATGATGCATAACTCTACAGGACTGCAGTTAGATAACCAAAAACGAGAACTGTACAACTTCTCTTAATATAAACAACATGAAAAAAGACAGTTGTAACAAGTCGAAGAAGCAGTATTGATGTATCTCAAGCAAACATCATGACAGGACTGGACATCTCAAAAGTTTCGGGGGGATAAAAGTATGGTCAAGAATAATCATAACCTCTGACAAACTAAAAAAGGATTAGCCTGATCATAATTTCGAGAGCCTGAATATTTAAATAAGTAAAGCAAGACAAAACAAACAAACCTTTTATAAGAGGTTTCAACTTCGCCTCCAACCAGTCAATATTCTTCTCTAGATAATCCATGCAATATACAAGACCTGGATGAACATGACAAAAGAAACTTCAATAGTTGCAGAACCAGAATGGGCCATATACTTTACAAGTATGTTGATCACAAAATCCATTAAAAAACTTCTAAAAGACTATAATATTTCCACACACGAAAAAAAAAAGCATCATTTGTTGAGTCTAACAAAAGCACACTCTTAAGCACCCATTAAAAGGTTAATCATAACTCTATGAGGATCTTGGCAAAAAATAAACAGGAATAGCTGATCGCAAACCATCTGATAACAGCTGACCGTAAACTATCCAATTTTCTTTTTCATTTACAATCCAAACATTGCTAATAAAAGAAAAACAAACATTTGCACATTTTACTTTATCCAAGTGATGAACCAAAAGTGTTTATAGATATTTAGATATACTAAATAAATAAATAAAAATTAATATGAGCTCACCTCCATTTGGACCAAGACCGTGCTCCACCATCACATCACTTAGTTTTATAAGATCCTCTATGTTCACAGCACATTCATATCTAAATTTAAGTAAAGGCTTGACATACTACAAGGAAAGGAAACTACTAAACTGCAAAATATGAAGAATGAAAAGTAAACTAATGAGTAGGATACGGCAATGCATCGTTAGCAGGATCCAAATTGATAACAGCAACTTTTCTGCATGCCCGAAATGATAAAGTTGTCATTGCAGACGATCCAGACAGATTCATATGGAGAATATTGACGCCATAGGAAGGAAAACTTGAAAACCAGAAGCAAAGAGAATGGCCTCTTGAGGCATATATTTGTTTCTGTGTAGTCTCTTTGGTTTGGGCTTTGCCCCCTATGTTACCAAAGAAAAAAACCAGAAGCAGAGGTGAAAATTTACCTTCCAATGAGTTGGAGAAACTGAGACATGCCATTGCAGTAGGTGGTCTTCCCTGACCCAGGTGGACCAATCACCACTTGCCCAAAAACCATTTTCACTTCGTCTTCGTTTTTTTTCGTTGTCAAAACTTCGTCTTCTTCGTTTATGTTGTCGACTGGGTTCCAGACTGAGGAGGCTAGGGCTTGAAATTTGGGGGCGGGTGCTTGAGGCGGCAAAAAAAAGTCAAAAACAATTAGGGTGCGTTTGGAATCCAGGAACTCAAAAACTTCTATTTTTCAAGTTTCAAAAACTTATTTGGTATACAACTTGAAAACCTAGCTCAAGCAATGAGAGACTAGTAGGAAAAAAGATTTATGAAAAAACAGACATTCGGATTTTGGGGGCTTAAAATGTATTTTTAAGTTTATAAAATTGGATTCAAATCCAATATCAGGCTCTTAATTTTCATAAAATGAAAAGGGGGCATTCCGAGAATCGAACTCGGGACCTCTCGCACCCAAAGCGAGAATCATACCACTAGACCAAATGCCCGCTTTGTTAACTATCTACATAAAACTAACTTTATACCACTTTAGTGTGAAAGAATCTCTAATTAAGCCCATGGACCATCTACATCCATTCAGCATACCCCGGGGCCCATTGTTCTGGTGTTGGGGAGGACTATGATTACAGTTTTGGAGACGCTTTATGTCACCTCACTTTCATTCACATGGGATGGGATGAGACCTCCTAATACACAGCACAAGCTTTTGCAGATAATTATGACTTTGCATGTAAATAATTTAAATGTTGAGCTGCTAATACATGGAGGAGGGGCCTATATTGGCAAAATATAGCTCACATTAAGGCAACGCAAAAGTCAATGTGGGGCACCCATGGAAGCATGGAACATGGAAGAGAGCTGTCATCATGATAGAGTGCGGTGGAAGAAGGTAAAAGAATTAGGTTAAAAGACTGGTGCCTCATCATTTCAGACTCGTGCAATGTTACTTTGCCCATGATTTTTCTCATACATGTTTAGGTGAATTAGCGAAAAGAAGCTAGGCAATTCACCATAATCGATATGTTGTTAGATTGTCAATCGAGTAAATTCGTGTTCGATGTAAAACAGTGTAATCATGGAGGAACAAAGATACTTTTGAGAACTGAAGCAAGCAAGCCAGCTAGGCAATTGGTTGATGAAGTGCTGGCATTTGATGGCATGGAGCATCAAACTTACGATAATTAAAGTCATTTGATGCTTCAAGTTCAATTTTTTTTTAAAGGGTTTTCAGGTGTTACCCATCCAAACATGTATCCCACTTATTAGTGTCCCACTCCTAATTTAGCTTGAAACTTAATTAAAGCAAACGAACTTTATTTATAGTCATTTTCTGATCACCCCAACTGATCAACCAATAGATTGGGCCATCCATGTTGGCCAGGCCAGCTATTAATTTTGTAATGAAGTCAGCAAATTTGGTTTATATCCCTTTTGAATTTCCAGCTACCATCTCATAATGCAGAAATCAATTAGGAAAAAAAGGAAAGAAATAGAAAGAAAAAGCAAATGCATGGTTTATATGCAATGTAATGTAAGCCTTTGTTTTCATTTGGAGGACAGGGGGGAAGCTAATTAAGAAAAAAATATCTAACAGACAGAGAGTGGTAGGTGGGTGCTTGGAAATGGGACAACATGATTGCTAATTGCAGCTAACTTTAATCATATTCATCCACAGTTGTGCTTTTGGTCTCTGCAATCCCCTGCAACCCACATATTTTGATCTCCCTTATTCATTTTTCTTATCTCCTTCAGTTTTTCTTAGGGGGAGAGAGAGAGAGAGAGAGAGAGATAGTGTGAACAGGAAGAAGTCATGGCATTTGCAGGAACAACCCAGAAGTGCATGGCTTGTGACAAGACTGTGTATCTGGTTGATAAGCTAACAGCCGATAACCGTATCTACCACAAAGCCTGCTTTCGATGCCACCACTGCAAGGGAACCCTCAAGGTAGTACATATATCTTACATTGTTTCACTAACTTAAGACTTAAAATCTCTCTTTGGCAAAATTCTGGGGACAGATTGTTGAATTAAAGAAGCAAAATGGATCTCATTTTGCTTGAAGTTTTTTTTCATTCTTCTGGTCCTATAATGCTATAAGACTATATTTCTTCAGAATTCCCATCTGTATGATCAAGCTACTTTCTTTCTTGTTTAGAGTAGATACCCTTTCTTCTTTGGCCTAAAACAAAAAACCTTTTAGCTATTTACAACGACCTGGTAGATATTCTTTCTTGTCCAGTCACATTGGAAGTCTTATGCTTATCAAGTCTCACCTGCATCTTGATATTACAGAATCATAGATCAGACCCCCAAAACTTGATATATATGTGTAGTTCAAACCCAAGAACAGAACTAGATCAGTTTCCAGATTGGCAACCTTATCATCTACTAGTTATTCTGGCATTGTTCTATCCAAGAATTATTCTTTATAGAGATATGATTTAATCTTCATCTGTTGGCTGTTGCCCATATGATGATTCGTCTCTCACAACAACATACATGTTCTTGAAGTATGTTTTAAAATTAAAAGTTAATTCCAGCTTCCACATTTTTGGTTTTCATATACAACTCCGTTGACCAAAATATCATTTTGCAGCTCAGCAACTACAATTCATTTGAGGGAGTGCTGTACTGCAGGCCACATTTTGATCAGCTCTTTAAAAGAACTGGCAGTCTTGACAAAAGTTTTGAAGGTAAAACTAAAAATTCACCAAATTAATTAAATCTCTCTCTCAGTGGTTCAAGGTGATCAAATTCTGTTTCATTTTCCTTTTCAGGGACACCAAAAATTGTAAAACCAGAGAGACCTGTTGATAATGAGGTATATATTCCCCAGAAATTTAATTGCTTTAATATGGATCATACAAGTCCTTAATATCTGCTCATCATCTTGATGATAAACTGTTTTAACAGAAACCTGCAGTAGCCAAAGCTTCAAGTATGTTTGGTGGAACCAGAGATAAATGCTTTGGCTGCAAGAATACTGTTTATCCAACAGAAAAGGTAAGACCAACTTCTGAAATTATCATTTCTCCACATGCTGTCATCAGCAAAGAAACCTAACATTAATATTTTGACATTGATCAATAGGTTACTGTGAATGGAACTCCTTACCACAAGATGTGTTTCAAATGCTCACATGGAGGATGTACAATCAGCCCATCAAACTATATTGCGCACGAGGGCCGACTCTACTGCAAACACCACCACACCCAACTCATCAAGGAGAAAGGAAACTTAAGCCAGCTTGAGGGTGACTATGAGAAGAACACCGTCGATGAGAATGCCAGTGCCAGAGAAGTTGCTACCGAAATATGATACAAAGAATGGATAACTTTTTTTCCCCTTAGCATCCCTTCTTTATGTGGTGTTGCTGTCCCTGATACAGATGGAGTCCTTTGTATAATTGAAGTGTGTGGGTTCATTCATTTGCTGTTTTTTAGTTTTGCTGTGAGGTTGTGAATGCTACAATGAGATGCCAAAACCTATTTTCAACTAGCCCCTTTCCTAAAGACCCAAATGAGGCTGTTTTTTTTTCTCCTCTTATTGTGTTCTTGTTGGCATTGAATAAATGTTGATATGTCCCATTGTTCTCTCTATCTTACTATGCAAGCTCTCTAACACCAAAAGAACAGTTCTCATTCAAGCTGAGTGGTCTTAAATTAAAAGTAATAAAAATGGTATAGAGATTTAGTTATGAGCCAACAGGTAATTGAACATTTTATTAGATGATTCCACAGAAGAAAATTTTCAGAAATTCAACCATTGGTTTTGCAATGGAAGTTATAGTACACAGTGCCACAGCATTAAGTGGCAACAAGCAAAGGGTGTCTGTACAAAAATAAAAAATAAAAAAATTCCCAAAGTAGTACAACAGTCACAACAAATGCTCCGCGGTGTCAAGAAGACAACCATTCTTGGCAACATGCTTCAGGTCTCTGATAAAACTATCTTGAAGAAATCCAAACCCAAACGTTCCATCCCAATACTGCCAAATCCGCCCCTGAGCATGCAGTGGGTTTGTGGTAGTTCCTGCCAAGTGTGGAATAGCCAGATCATGACTGAAGTTTATGCAAAGAATGCGAGAGACTCCTTTGTTTCCTGTGAGAGGGAGATGCTGGTGAATGTGAGCTGCTGCTGCAGTTGGTTGAAGATGTATCCGACTAGTATACAAATTTTCTTCCTCTGGGGAAAATGGAGACTCAATAAAAGTAGGGTTCATTGTCCAAAAGACCGGGTGTTTCCTGATAACATGTGCGAAGCTGCAAAAATTTCCAGACGAGTCGCAAACCTTTTGGCAGGAAATGCCCCCAATGTCATCATATGCAACAAGGTAAAAACCCAAGGTCATGTCATCATAAATTCCCTGCAGTTGGAAGAAGAAGAGGGGGTCAATTAAGCCACAATTGAAACCTCTTGTGAATCCACCATCTTGCTATGACACATTACAATAAGCAAGAGTGAAAGGAGCAAAACCAATCAGTTAACACTAGAGCTGCCTCTTACACAAAGTTTGGATGCCCAAGGTAGATTGATCCAACTATCCTAAGACAGCAATCTGACTTCTAAGCAGTCCCATGTTTTCTGTACTAACTTATACCAAGTAGTTTGGGAGTTCTACTTGGTACAAATCAATGAAGCATAAGCACCGACCTCAATATTCAAGCACTTCTAAAATAAGGGATTCATGTAGACAGATCTCTGTTCCTAATTCTACTACATAACAAATTGATGTGGATTTGTTTGTATAATCTAAGAACACGAAGACCAACCTGATAAACCATCCAATACTAACCTTACCGAAGCAAAACACTCAGAAATACAGCCAATGGAAATTCTTGGAGAGAATAGTCTTATAAGATAGGAAGCAAATTCAGGAGCCAGTTCTAAATTCCAAAATACAAACTAAATAAAATGTAGTCCACCAACACTGAATGGCATAGTTTGTCCGACAAGCACTTCACAAGCAAAATCAGGAGAAGATGTCAATATCTGTATCTCTGTAATTAGGCATAGAAACTGCAACAACAACCTTAAAGCATAAAACAACTGATTTTCCAACTTTCAGCTGAATCATACAAGCATAAAGGAAAAAAAGGCACCTTCCATAGGCCCTGTAAAGGCCGAGTTGGTGTAGGCGAGCAATCAACAATCTTCACGAAATGCTGAGGCTCCAACTTCCTCCTGGCCTGCTTTTCCTTCTCTCTCCTCCTCTGCCTCCTCGAAGCTCTATCTCCACCTGGGCTGGTCCGGTTCGCAAAGTACTGATAAATCTCCACCACCAACTGGTCCGGTGATGTCCCTGGGGACCCACTAGTCTCGGCTCCAATCAAATCCTCACCGACCCCACCATCGTCTCCGCGCCCACTAACTGAGCTGGAACTTCTCCGAGCCCCAAAGCTCATATCTTCCTCCACAACAAAATGGGTTTTCCCCATTAAGCTCAAATTGACCGGAACTAAATCGCTCTCCGCAAACTTGAACCGCGAGGAATTAGCGAAATCTTCCGAAATCTCGGTCCGGCCTTCCGGGTCGAGAAAGTTCAAAACTTGGCCCTCCGGCGAGAGACTCATCCACAAAAAGGGTGCCTTTACGACACCGTATGTACCGTCCTTGGCCGGAGAGACCCGGAAGCCGGTCATGAACGATGGGCCCCACTCGAAGAAAATCAACGGTGGAGATGTCGCGATGCCGCCTTGGCGCCAGAATCCAATCAGATTTTCCCAATCGCTGAGGGTCTGGTAGAGAATTCTGTAGGTGATTTTCCCAATTCCCCATTTCTTGATCTGGGTCTTGGAGCCCCACCTGCGGTCGCACATAGAGAACCAAAGCTTGCCATCGTTTTTGCACAGCGAAACGAACCGTTTCGATGTGCAGGCGAAGCTGGCGATCTCGGGAGGCGTGAGGAAGGAGAGAACGCAGAGCTGGACGTCCTCGGGGAAATCGGCGAAGGAAACGGAACAACCCAATTCGTCAATTGTGAGACTTGTGTCTTTGACCGTCGACATTTTTTGTTTGGTATTCGGCTTGATTTTCCAGGTAAATTTGGGAATTTTCTGGGGAAAATTGGTGGGAAATACAGGTAGTTGTTGTGGAGGTGTTGGACAAGGGAAAGAGAAGTGTTGTGTTGGATTGAATTTTTGGAGATTCTTCGACCATAGGGAATCATTCTTCAACGTGTTGGGTTGAATTTGGAATCATTCTTCGACCAGTACATTTACAGGGTTTGTGGGGGTACAATTGTAATTTAGCAGATTATTACATAGATACGGTATTTTTTGTTTCATTTGTTGGTAATGGAGAGGCCGGAGGCCCAATAAACTAAACTAATCAGGAATAAACTTAGGCTTAGCTAAGGCCAACAAATCTGCTGACCCACAAATATATGGTACTTCATTCTTTTATTTGGCAACTCTTTTTTTCATCTAAGAAAAATATTCCCCACCTATTTTATTTCCCTATATTCCCCCGACAATTGTTAATTTTAGTGAAAATACACTTATTTATCAACTCTTAATATTCAATGTAATAAGTCGATGGGATCTAACTCAGTGGAAAACAGCCTTGATTTGCAGACAAGAGGTGTTAGATTCGAACCACCATAGCATCTTAGTTGTGTGCGTGAAATCGTCATTCCTTCTAATTTAGACTATCGCTTTTACTAATATATATATATATTCGGTGCAATAATGTCAACATGATCTTGACCAGTGATCTCATATTCAAACTCTCATAACAACTTCGTAGTGCGTGTCAAAAAACCCTCGTGTATAGGGTTTTATTATTATTTATATTTCTATAAAATGGGTCTTTAGGTGTTTTTTCTATCATAAAATGGAATTTTGAATAACTTATTTATAAATAGGCATGTACATTTATTTTCTTCTTCATACCCATCATTTTTTTTTCTTGAAAAATAAGTAGATTTCATTAACCAGAAGCATTGGTTACAATAAGGTCATCAATAATACAATGCATTAGTCACGCATGTCCTTCTTCTAATCAATAATAAGGATGTAAAGCAATACAGGCAATAGTATGAGCTACTTTATTACACTCCCTAGGTTGAAGTTTGACTTCCTTTAAAGAAAACTGCACGAGCAAGTCTCTCACATCATCCACAATGTTGCCGACATTAGCCCACATAGTCTCCCATAAATTAATCATCATAACAGCCTCAGAAGAGTCAATTTCTATGAGGAGATGGAAAAACCCAGCATCTGCAACAAATAAAATTCCTATATAATTCGTTTGCAATTCTTTAGCTAGAATGGAAATCCCACAAGGGCTTTGTATAGCTAGAGCACCCATAAAATTTCCATAATCATTTTGAACTGCACTTGTACTACGCAAGCCTGTTGTGTTGTCAATAGCTCCATCAACATTGAGCTTATAGAAATTATGATACACATTCCTTTGATACCCATCAAATATATGATACACATTCCCTTGATATAATTTAAACCTAATGGATATAATTTATTTATTTATAGTTCTGTAATTTTACCAAGAAATTTGGTATAGTGAAGAGAAATCGATTTGTAACTGTATGGCGCGAAGAATCACTATTAATAACTATTAAGAATTCTTTCAATGCACACATGCTTGCATTTATATTCACTACCATCAAACTCATACATAAAAAAGTAATTCAATTCAACGGCATCGAAGCTCTCTCACAAGTCACTGGTATTCGATCTAGACCGTCGAAAGTCCTTGATCCTACCGTCCATCCCCGAACTCCCACCACCCGTCCGATCCCTAGAACCACGGCGCTTAAGCTTCCCATCCCCATCGTCAAAAACTTGACCCAGCACCTCCTGAACCGACTCGGGACTCAAATACGACTTCCCCTGCAACGCGGCCGAGAACGAGTTCAAGAACTCAGTGTAAGCCGGAATCACAAGCTTCACGGTAGCCGATCTAATCTGCTGCCTCAAGTCAACCTCCGGAATAACACAAAACCCCTTGTGCCTCTTGGAAATGTCGTCCAAGCCCTTCATGAACGCCTCAATTTTCAACCTCACCAGCCCCACCTTCGCCTCTTTGCTCTGTTTCTCCAGATCATCCTGCTCCAAGATCCTCACCAGTGGGACCCACGCCTGCTTCTGGTACATGTAAGCAGATTCCTCGGCCACCACTTTGTAGTTCTTTTTCAAGTACTGGTCTCCCAAGAGCTTCCCGAGCTCTGTGTTTCTGGTCCTCATGTAAATGTACCAGTAAGTGTTCATGGAAAACACATGAGGAAGAGGGATTGAAATACCCAATTTGTCCCTGCTGTTGTTATTGTAACCCGAACGTTTTGCCTCCACATTCCTCTGCAAAGCTTCCATGATGTTGCAAATGGCGTCTCTGAGCAGATTCTCATCAGTTTCTGGTTTGGACAAAATCCCTGCTTTCCAAATTTGCTCTGTTCTTAAAACCTTGGCCATGGCGACACTGTAATTCTCTGTTGCTAAGTATTTCAAGTAGTTCACAGCGTACCTTACTATTTTAGGCACTGACCCATCTGGAGGTGGAGGCAATCCATCTGAACTGCCTTCAATTTGAAGCCCAAATTCCCAAAACACTTTACTTGAAGCATGAATGAGAAGCTTCTCAAGTTCCCTGAATCTTATGCAGATGTCGGCTCCCGATTCGCCGTCGAACACCTCAGAGAATCCAGGCTTGAGCTTCTCCAAGGAGTCGAACATGTCCAGGAGCTTGAACAGCTTCTGGGGCTCTTTGCTGCTCCTGGCTACGCCTTCTCCGAACCTGAAGAACACCGCCATGATTTTGTCTGCGATTTTCGCGAAGCATTCTGGCCAGATCAAACCCTCCATTATGCCGCCTAGTACTTGTTCACAGAGCTTCTTCTCTGATACAAGCACTGCTTTGACTGCAAGTTCAAAGTGTTGGATCCAAAGGGTTATGGCTGTCTCTAAGCTCTCCCATGGCATTTCATCTATTTCTTCTGGAGTGTGACTTTTTAAGTACTCTGGGTTTAGCCTCATTAGTGCTTTGGCAACTCTTTTGTATCTCACCTGTTGAACACCAAAAATTATAACTAATAAGATTTAAACTTCAAAGGGCCTCTATTGCTACATGGATTAATGTTCTTTTAGTAGATCATACATTCACGCAACATTCAGCTTAATTAATATTGATTATATGTGAATCATACATTCATGTAAATGGTGTCACAAGTTAAGCAAATTTGTCATATAATGTGATTCGCTAATATGATCTAAAAATGTGACGCTTTTAACGTTACTCAAAACTAAGGAGGATGCAACCGTGCTGAATTTACCTTAACATAAATATCGATGCATATGTCCAAGCAATCATCGGCATCTAGGGTTTGTGAAATCCTTCTAAGAAGTTCAACCTCCAACTCAGTCCCCAAATCAGAACCCATGATCACCATCTCATCACCCCTATCATCTTTATCAGCAGCCTGCAACTCCACGACATTTCGATGCCTTATCTGCTCCAAAATGCTCTCATACTCATCCTGCAAATTCAGCAGAGCCTCATCAAGCAACCCTTCAAATCTCATAGCATCCACCTCTGTTTCATACAGAGCCTTGAGAGTGACCAGAGTTTCTCTCAACCTATGCGTCCTGTATTGATCAGTCGCCTTCGTTCGGCTCAAGAACTCCACCACCTCCTGAAGCCTCTGGATCACCGGCTCTCCCTCCTGACAAATACAATCGATTGAAACCTTAAGCTGATCAACACAATCCACATATTTCACAAGTTTCTTGAGCCTTTTGCTCGTTGATTTCTCGGTTGACATTTTCTCCGAGAGTTCGAGCAGCTTGTGCTGGATTGACTCGGAGAGCTTGAAGTTGTCGAGAAGAGCAAGAGCTGGAGTTACAGCTCTGTTAATTCTAGTCTCCAAGGCTTTGGTGGCCATGGCTAACGACTGTAAAGGAGCCACTCTTCTTGAAGATGTCAACAGAGTCTCGTCTATGACCTCAAACTTGTTGTCCATCTTTCGGAGGCTTTCTTCCATCTTGGCCGTTGCTTTCAGTATGATTTTCAGGTCTGAACATGTTAGCTCGAGATCAGAGAGCCTTGAAGCTGCTTTGTAATTGGACCCCATTAATTCTTCTGAGCTTCAATGGCTGCCTGTGAGAGGCTGTGATGTTATGGAGCTATATGAATATGATGCGTTAACAAGAGGGACGGTGTGTTTGGGGGGCAGAAGAAGACAAGGACGTAACATCGGGGAGGCTGCTATCGATGCAAACTAAGAACAAATGGCATTTGTTTGTTGAAAGAAACAAATGGGAAATTTGAAATTAGGGAATGCGCTCAGCCGGTATTGTGGAAACCCCCATGAATCAGTCCAATGGTGAAAGTGTCAAGCCCGGTTCATGTTTGCCTGGAAGTCAATTCCCAATGATGCCATTTGGGCTTCAGTTAATTGATGATGGTTTTTTGGGTTTATAAAAAGATTAAAAATGTTCACATACATGAAAATAAATTTTAAAATTCTAGATGACAACTCATTTACTAGAATTCCGTTTGTTTATGTTTGATGTATTGCACGTGTATATATTTTGATTCATAATTAGAATAGGCTATATAATCTGTCACATGATTTTGTGAGCATAACTTAGAAACTCTTTTGCTATCGTACCATAAGAAAAACAATGTTGCAAACACATACGATGTTCACATCTACTTTACGTACTAGGAATGAAGAAAATCATGAATCAACGAATTTTATATAGGGGAATCAAGGAATTGAAATTGGATTCAACTACTTCTCTAGTTGATCGCATTCATGATTTTAGAAGTATTTGATTACGAATTTTAATGTCAAACACATGTAATTTTTTTTTTATTCCTTATGTATTAATAAAAGCACATGAAAGTCATAAATTGAAATCATTCTCATACCGATATATTAGAATCACATTCCAATACTCATTCATATCAATAAACATGTCATAAAGTTCATTAAAATATTGCATTAGTGTTTGATGATCATGTGTGACAATTTAAAGTTTCATGCTAAATTTCACAAAAAGTGAAACCATCACTTAAAATTACAACCCAAAAAAATAAAAAAACTTTGCAATGTACCAATGAACTATAAAAAAAAAGAAAGTAAGATTCATTATTTAAAATTATTATTAAAAAAACGTAATTTCAATGTTCAAATGTAATTGAAGAAAATCAAAATCCTCACGTTCTAAAGAAAATCAAATCAAATCAAATTAAAATCCTTATTTGGGGATTAAAAGTTAAATTTCCCAACATTCTAAACAAAATTAAATTTTGAAAAAAAAAACAAAAAAGAAAGGGAATGTTGTGCAGTGATTACGTGGCATCATTATGGCGCAAAAGGGCCAACTCTCGGGAACCTTCTGGTAATTCCCGTGGTACATCGAACACTCGTGGTTAGGCGATTGGGCTTCGTCACAGAAACATTGTTGTGCTTGTGCCTGAGGAACCTCGAAGCTTTTGGTGTGCAAAAATGGCGAGATCTCTACGACAGGGCTTGAACCTCGCTCGAGCTCAAATGCTATCGCGGCCAAGATGGCTCTATTCACAATCGGAGGCGTTGGTGGAGACCAGAACCAATGACATCGGCATCATCTCTGGGATCCCTGAAGAACATCTACGACGAAGGGTACCCTCTTCAATCACTTGAAAAAATTTCCAACTTTTATTTTCATGTGAAAATTTATTTTTAGAGGAAGTTAATTTTGAGTAATTTGGATTTGGGCGTGCCCAGGTTATAATCTATTCACCTGCTCGAACTGCAACCCAACAAGGTTCTGGGAAAGTCGGGAAATGGAAAATTAATTTTCTTTCGACACAGAAGTGCGTATGTTATTGGATTGAGCATCTTATGCATGCATAATTAGGCGATAAATATTGTTAATTCCACAGATTTTACATAATTAATGTATATATCTGTAGCGTTGGGGCATAACCCAGCTTGTTCAGTCTCACATAGTTAACATTTGGTCATATACTATGATTCAATTAGTTGTGCTCTGTTTTCTTTTACAATTTTAACAAGCAATATTTGTTGATCTGGAATTCAAATTACTGTTGAATGGCTTCATTGGCATTTTGTGCAGGTGGGAAAACCCATTGATGGGTTGGACTTCCACAGGTGATCCCTATGCCAATGTTGGTGAGGCAGGACTGACTTTTGAAAGTGAAGAAGCTGCAAAGGACTTTGCTGAGAGACATGGTTGGGACTATACGGTGTGTTCCTCTTCAAAATTTTGCTGATAAGTTTCTTTTTCTACTTGTCAAATTGAAGTAAAATTCTTCAATATTGCACACTCTTTACACACCATGAACTGTTGTGCAGGTCAAGAAGCGCCACACACCACTTTTAAAGGTTTGGAAATTTTCCTCGAGTTTTTTTTATTTAAACCGCATATTTTTCTTTTTCTTTTGTTCACCTTAATACTTAAATCATTAAGCTTTTAAATTTTATTATTGCGTAAAAAGACAAAAAAGTCATCCAACTTAATAATTAACCCTAGTATATCTATACACGCCCCACCACTCTTCATGTTAATTTGATTATGATAACTTACATATCAATTTATCTGTCAACATTTCTCTATCAAAACCTCCTAGTTCATTCTCAAATTTTTTTTAAATAAAAAATAATAATAAAGAAAATGTTGCTACGCATTTGACAACAATGTTTTTATCTCTTTAAGTGCCTGTTTGACATTGATTATTTGGAGTGATAAGTGATTTTTTACAAATTTTTGAAAGCACAACTCGTTTGGTAAAGCAGTAAGGGAAAGCTGGTATAGAGCTGCTTTCATTTTCTGATTATGCGGCAATCAGTTTGGAGAGGCACTAGAGTTTAATGAAATTTTTAGAATTCCAAAAATAACCCCATATGTTTTCATGCTTGCGTCTCTTTCTCCTCGTTCGTCTACTTCCCATCGTTCATCTTCACGCCTTCTCTTCCATGTTCTTTAGTTTAGAGCTACTCTTCTCATTCTTTTCCTTCAATTTTTCTTGTTGGATTGTTGAAGCACTCTTGAAGCCACAAGAATCAGGTAAGAAACATATTAGGTTTATTTTTCTTGTCAATTTCATTCTTCTCAATTAGGGTTAGAGAAGCTTCTCATTGATTTGGGTTTATCACAAAACTCAAACTGATCCTAAACCATGAAATTGATTTTAAACGCTTCAATTTCATTTTGCTTTCTAAATTGTTAATGAATTCCAACCTTTTGATTTAGTTCACGAAGTGGTTGTTGATATACGAAACATTGTAGAACCAAAACAATAACAAACGGACAAGAAGAAAATAGCAAGACCCAGAGAGATGAAAACATATTTAATACAATATATATGTATATATGTAAGTGAAAGTGAAAATGATTTTCCTTTTACCAAAAACACTTTATCACAAAAGTTATTTCAACATATTGTCCTTTTTAGTCATTATACATAGCACTAAACACTTTCACACAAAAAATTTACCAAACATTTAGAAAATGATTATTGTACCAACATCACGTTTAACAAAATATTTACCAAATGTTGAACAACTTTCTCATACAGTTGATTTCTTTCACAGCAAATTTGACAACGATTATTTTCACACCACAACAATGCCAAACTGGCCCTAAGTAATGTGAGGTTGAGGTGGACTTAGAGTAGTGAGGGGAAGACAATGGGGTGCGGGGTGTGAGGTTAATTAGTTTTATTTATTTATGTTGATTGTGTATTTAGGGATAGTTTGGGAAGATAGTGAGATTTTATTAGAAATTGTGGAAATTTGAAGAGATTTTCTATTTAAACCCCGTACTTCTCTTTGTTCACCCCAATACTTAAATCATTAAGCTGTAAGTTTTATTATTATGTAAAAAGACAAAAAAGGTCATCTAACTTAATAATTAACCCTAGTACATCTATACACACACCCCACCACTCTTTATATTAAGTTTTAGAAAAATACAGACTCCTCTACATCCTATTTAAATTGGATCAGGACAGATGTCAAGTATAAATTGGATTAGATCAAGACAAACTCCTCTACTTTGAGAGATGTAAAGTTGTTCTATTTCTCTAGAAAATATTAAATTTCGAGTTTGGGGTTCCATTTCTTTGTGTTTTTTTTGCTAGGAACAAAGAAAATTGTGGGGTTTAAATAAAAAATATCTTTTATTTCTTATTTTTTCAGTTTGGGGTGTATTTAAGGGTAGTTTAGGAAGATAGTGGGGTTTTCTTAGAAATTGTGAAAATTTAAATTAAAAGATGGGGTGAACTTAGAACATGAGGTGAACTAAGAGAAGTGTAGGGTTTAAATAGAAAATTTCAATTTGGATTAGAAGTTGGTGTGAACAAAAAGTGTAGGGTTTAAATAGAAAATTTCAATTTGGATTAGAAGTTGGTGTGAACAAAAAGTGCGGATTTTGAATAGAAAAACTCTTTTCAGATAGATTAGGGACAGGGACAACTTCAAGTTATGTATGGTGTTCGTCTGAAGTATGTATTAATTTAAGCTTTTGATCATGTGTAGGTTAAGACATATGCAGACAACTTCAAGTGGAAGGGCCCTGCAAAGAGTGAAAAGAGTGCAGCGGATACTGCGCGCATATGAGATTACTCTTCTGGAGGCCTATGAGTACCTATGCTTAGTTTCTTCATCAATCTTGGTATCATATCATCCCCGTTGTTAGTTATGTAATGTTATTGAACTGAAAATAATTGTGATTATGAACAACAGAACAAGTTTCTCTCTCTTAAAAAAGCTGACCATACATATACTCAGCCTCAGACTCCTTATATATGCATATACATGAAAAAAAAATATAGTAGACACTGAAGGTGCACTTTCTAGTGAGCTAGCTACGCTACATTTTAATTACATTATTTGACATTTCAAGCATTAGATGAACTGGACTGAGATCCCTCTTTGCTGTGAGTGTGGAACCTCCAACTAAAGAGGTAGTCCTTAGTCTCACAGGACAGCTTGATCACATCACAGAAAGCATTGATTGCATGCTTATTCATCTCATTTCCCCACTCAATCCTCACCCAGCATGAAAACCCATTTGATGAAACTGGTACCCCTGACTCAGAAAGCTCAAGTATGACCTCCCCACTGATCCTCTTGCAAGAGCTCCCTCCGAAACGCCCATCACTGGCCACCATAGAATCGAGCCATGAACACTCTGGCTGGCCCACCATCTCCTTGTAAGCAGAGTTTGCCATCCTCACCTTGTTGTGTGAATCGGATATGATTGCTGGCAGGGCCTCAGACTCCACCTCGTCCTCAACATCCTCTGGTTTCTTAGGAGCTTGCTCTGCTGGGGCTAGGCTTAGGTCTGTTTTGATGCACCCAACACTTATGCTGGAGCCCACAGGTCGAACTGGCTGAGGTGCTATGACATTGATTGGTGTAGGGGTAGCGGCACTTCCTTGTAGTTGCTGCAGCAGATCTTTTTCTTCTGGAATTTCAGCCACAATGTTCAAATCTATCAGCTTCTCCTCTCCTTCACAAGGTTTAATTAACTCAAACTCAGCTGGCACCATTGGTTGGTTGGTCACAACAGGAACTGATGGAGGAGGAGGAGGAGGAGGAGGAGAATGAGGAGAAGGAGGAGCAGGGTATTGAAGAAGAGGCAGAGTCATCAAACTGGTGCTTTTGACTGCATCAAAGCTTGTTGGCATGGGGAGCTGTGAAAGAGCATGAGCAAAACCATCCAAGGTGAGATTTTTAGCCGGATATGTTACATGACAAGGGGTAGAAAACCCAAACACATGATGGGTCCTCTGCCTCTTGAAGGTTGTTGGTGACAGAGCAGATCGACCTCTCTTTCTAGTCCTGGTGGGTCTGGCCTGCAATTGTGGCCAGAGGTTTCTAAGGTAAGGAGACTCTCTGATCTTCTTAGATAAGGATGGATTCTCACCTGCTGAGTTTGCTGGGGTCTCAGGTTTAGGTGCTATGGGCCTATACCTAGACATAATCTCAGCAGTTTTCTCTGTGTTGGTGTTGTAAGGATTGAGTGTCTTGATCATGGTGGTAGGTGCTTTTCTTGACAGCAAAAGTCTAAGCCCCACCAGCTATTCTGTAATGGTGATCACTGGAGACCCAAAAGAGAGCTTTTGAGAGAGAAATGCAGAAGGCAGGCAGAGGAGAGCTGTGAGGAAGGAAGTGAGAGAGGAGATAGGGAAGGAGGAGGAGGACTTGCAGTGGTTTTTGAAGAGGGATTGATCTTGTAACGGGTGTATTTAAGAGTGACAAGTGGCCAATGAGAGAAGGGCAACATGAAGCGAAGAGAAAGCAGAGACTGCCACTTGGAATTGTACGGTGGGTACGTGTTTGTGAGAGCTCAGAAATAAGTTACTTGTGGGAATTAACACTGTTGGTAGGACAGGTCCACTGTAACTTTTCACATAGACCACTTAGCCCAAGGGCTGGGTGTAGCTGGGATTTGTCAACCATACCAATCAGACGCCTGGCTTGCATGCCTTCACTTGTAACCAAACACCCTCTCATCATAACGCGTGTGGGTTTGGCCGCCATGCGTGGGTACACCTATCACGATTGGTTTGGGTGGTTTTTTTGTTTTACTCCGGAAATTTACGAAACTGCCTCTCTTCTCTGGGTCGGTTATATTTGGCAGTGCTGGTACGTGTCGACTCGATGCCTCTCACTTGCATGCAACCGAATGAGATAAAATCTGATTGGAGGATGAGTCATTGGGAGTTTAAAACGTACAGGAAGAGAGAGAGGACAGGGGAGGGATTACACGTGGCGCGCGATTGAGGCGGTTGATCAAACGTGGTCCTTGCTCTCTCTCTCTCTCTGTGCTTTTGACAAAAGCGTCCTTTTGCTCTACTCCCTATTAGCGCGCTTTTGCGGTGCTTTTTTTGGTGCCTGCCAAGTCACTGAGTATGGTTGCGTGGGAAGCGTCGCGCAAAAACCGGATGCCTAGCTTGGCGTAGGCCATTGGGTCTTATGGGTTGGTTAGGTTGGGTTTTCAATCCATGGGCGTTTTTTGTCATTTTCTGCAATCAATCTTCATGGTCGTAGCCCAATAGTAAGAGCCCACTTAATTCAACATAAAATATATAGGTGGTTTCTTTTTATATACAAAAATAATAATATTATTAGGTTGCAAGATTTAAATCTTATTGGGATTACCAACTTTCTGTTGTCTGCTTTTTTAAATCTTATTGGGATTCTTATAGGATCTTTTTTGGTAATTCTAATTGGTTGAAAATAAGAGACACTCGATCACTAATTGGTAATTATCAGGAAAATAAATAAATAAATGAATTCGGGGAAAGAGGTTCACATGATCCAACTAATTACGACGTCGTTTTTTTGTAAGACTCATGTCATTTATTGGTCCTCATTATTGATATGACCTAAAAGTTTTTAGAAAAATGTAAATAACTCATCAAAGATGCATAGTTAACCAGTAATGATTAGTAATCCACTAAACGGCTGACGAGGAATCCAATGCCCAATTAAGTAATAAAGTTTATAAAATAATAATAATTTTATATATTAAAAAAAAAGTGAATTAGACGTGAGTGCCTCACTTCTCTTCTCTATATTTTTTTTCTTCCTAAATTTATAAGAAAATTACAAAAGAGTATCTTATATGGATTCTTAGACCATAGAACTCAAATTTTAATCTAAACAAAGCACAACAAGAGTATCTTTCTTGAGCTTTAGTAAGAATCGATGGCACTTAAACATGCACTTTAATAGACACATCGTCTACAATTCTCCTTCAATTTTAAGATTGAAAATATGTAGACGATATGTCCATGAAGTGCATATTTAAATGTCACTTCTTCATTCTGCAAATCATAAGTAATAATACCTCAAATGATACATCCTATAATTAAAAGAATACTATTTATATTACGAAAAACAAATCCGGCCATTGCATTGCCATTAACCATCGAAATGAATTTGTAATAATTATTTTGCGAGAATACCAACTATAAGATTTAGCATTTGTGTGTTTCCATTTGCGTAACTAAATTTTATTGAGATGCCAATAATTTCAGTTCTCTAGTCTTCTTCCTTAAGTTTTTTATTTTCTTTCTGTTGTCTGCTTTTTTAAATCTTATTGGGATTCTTATAGGATCTTTTTTGGTAATTCTAATTGGTTGAAAATAAGAGACACTCGATCACTAATTGGTAATTATCAGGAAAATAAATAAATAAATGAATTCGGGGAAAGAGGTTCACATGATCCAACTAATTACGACGTCGTTTTTTTGTAAGACTCATGTCATTTATTGGTCCTCATTATTGATATGACCTAAAAGTTTTTAGAAAAATGTAAATAACTCATCAAAGATGCATAGTTAACCAGTAATGATTAGTAATCCACTAAACGGCTGACGAGGAATCCAATGCCCAATTAAGTAATAAAGTTTATAAAATAATAATAATTTTATATATTAAAAAAAAAGTGAATTAGACGTGAGTGCCTCACTTCTCTTCTCTATATTTTTTTTCTTCCTAAATTTATAAGAAAATTACAAAAGAGTATCTTATATGGATTCTTAGACCATAGAACTCAAATTTTAATCTAAACAAAACACAACAAGAGTATCTTTCTTGAGCTTTAGTAAGAATCGATGGCACTTAAACATGCACTTTAATAGACACATCGTCTACAATTCTCCTTTAATTTTAAGATTTTAGGTCCTCATTATTGATATGACCTAAAAGTTTTTAGAAAAATGTAAATAACTCATCAAAGATGCATAGTTAACCAGTAATGATTAGTAATCCACTAAACGGCTGACGAGGAATCCAATGCCCAATTAAGTAATAAAGTTTATAAAATAATAATAATTTTATATATTAAAAAAAAAGTGAATTAGACGTGAGTGCCTCACTTCTCTTCTCTATATTTTTTTTCTTCCTAAATTTATAAGAAAATTACAAAAGAGTATCTTATATGGATTCTTAGACCATAGAACTCAAATTTTAATCTAAACAAAACACAACAAGAGTATCTTTCTTGAGCTTTAGTAAGAATCGATGGCACTTAAACATGCACTTTAATAGACACATCGTCTACAATTCTCCTTCAATTTTAAGATTGAAAATATGTAGACGATATGTCCATGAAGTGCATATTTAAATGTCACTTCTTCATTCTGCAAATCATAAGTAATAATACCTCAAATGATACATCCTATAATTAAAAGAATACTATTTATATTACGAAAAACAAATCCGGCCATTGCATTGCCATTAACCATCGAAATGAATTTTTAATAATTATTTTGCGAGAATACCAACTATAAGATTTAGCATTTGTGTGTTTCCATTTGCGTAACTAAATGTTATTGAGATGCCAATAATTTCAGTTCTCTAGTCTTCTTCCTTAAGTTTTTTATTTTATTTTTATTTTATTAAAGAAAGAAAAAGAAAAAGGAAGAGAGGCTTTGTTTTGTCTTTGATATATTCTCATTGAAATCTCAAGTGTACTGTGGAGCGAAAAATCTGCTTTTGTGAGTGTTCAAATGGAGCAAACCAACAACAAGAAGCCCTCGTCTTTACCCACCAACTACGTCACCATTCTCGAGCTCAAAGAGCGCTGGCTCAAAGAGAAGGAACGACAACGAGATGAGGAGGAACGACAACGAAAGGAGAAGGAACAAGAAGAAGAGGAGCTCCGACAGCAAAAGCTCCGAGAAGAGCAGGCAAAGCAACAGAAGCAAAACGCCGTCGTTCTGAAAACCCGAACCGATTCCAGACCTACGAATCGCAGTAATCAGACACAGTTTCGGCCAGTGAATCGGAGGAGTGTTTCGGAGTGCAAGGGTGCTGAGCTGGAGGGGAAAAAGCAACCCGTCGTGCAGAAAACCGAAGCCCATTTCGAGCCTAGGAATCGCAGTAATCGGACACAGTTTGGGCCGGTTAATTTGAGTGTTTCGGAGCGCGAGGGTGCTGAGCTAAAGCAACCCGTCGTACAGAAAACCGAAGCCGATTTCAAGCCTAGGAATCGCAGTGATCGGACACAGTTTGGGCCGGTTAATCGGAGTGTTTCGGAGTGCGAGGGTGCTGAGCTGGAGGGGAAAAAGCAACCCGTCGTACAGAAAACCGAAGCCGATTTCAAGCCTAGGAATCGCAATGATCGGACACAGTTTGGGCCGGTTAATCGGAGTGTTTCGGAGTGCGAGGGTGCTGAGCTGGAGGGTAAAAAGCAACCCGTCGTACAGAAAACCGAAGCCGATTTCAAGCCTAGGAATCGCAATGATCGGACACAGTTTGGGCCGGTTAATCGGAGTGTTTCGGAGGGCGAGGATGCTGAGCTGGAGGGGGAAAAGCAACCCGTCGGACAGAAAACTGAAGCCGATTTCCAGCCTAGGAATCGCAGTGGTCGGACACAGTTTGGGCCGGTTAATCAGACTGTTTCGGAATGCGAGGGTGCTGAGCTGGAGAGGAAGAAAAGCGAGGAACCAGAGGAGAAGAAGGTATGGAAGAAGAAGAATAAGTGGAGGAAGAATAAGTGGAGGAAGAATAAGAAGGATGTTAGGGCAGAGAAAGAGGAAGTGGCTGAGAAGGTATGTATAGCAGACGTGCCTCAATCGAGTTGCGAGAAGGGAGACGATCAGGCAACAGGGAAGGAAGAAAAGAGACCTGAAATCGAAATTAGGGCAAAGAGCGAGAATGTGGTTCCGACTGCGGAGATTGTGCCGAAATTTAGGGATTTATCGGTGAATGGTGAGACTGGAAAAGGGGATGATGAGTTGAAGAGACCAAGAATAGTTGATCGCCGTGGTAATGGAGGAATTAGGGGTTATTATGAGAGGCCTGATCGCTTTGATATGCAGAAACAGAGAGGTTATGCTGGGAGGGTTTGGGTTAAGAAAGGAGAGGTTGCTGATGACAAAGGCGGTGGAGTTCAACAAAGCTTGGAGCGCAATGATGTCATTTATGGTGAGAATCTCTTTGTTTAAGCAATGCCTTTGTTTTATTAGTAGTATGTTTACTTGCTAGCTATGGATGTTACAGTTTTATCTTATTAAATGAGCAATTTAACAACAGATTTTGGATAGATAATATAGAGCAATGAAGTAACATGTCTTTGAATAATAAGTGTGTTAACTGTGAATTGTGATGCAATTTTCTTCATATCAATTTGCAAAAAGGTTTGGATATGCTCATAAATCATAATGTAGCTCCCCATTTATGAATTAGAGCATTTTTAAATAACAATGCCTGAGGGGAAAGGTAGTTTTGTGTCAATGGATGTGGGCTATCATTAGGAATGGTAGATATTGATAGTCTTAGTGGTGCACATATGATTTTGAAGGGCAGTATCAGGTTAGCAGGTATACTTGTAACTCACCAGAGGGGAAGTATAGGCATAGGACGTGGAAAAGTTTATGGTTATGTTGTTACATCATAGCTTGATTTAAAATCTCTTTTCAATTTGTTGTCTTGGATGAGGTGAAGGTTAAATTGCAGATTAGAAATGTTTATGCAAAATGCTGGATGAAAGGATTTTGGGGAGACTCTAGGTTTTTTCTTGGCTCCATCTAAGCAAGGACAAGGTCGCTTTGAAGGAGGAGTATATAAATAAGTTGATGATGCATGTTGTCAAAATATTTCTCACAGACTAGGATAGGGAAATATTTTGTGGAGATCTAGTCTAGGAGGTATGGTACTGAAAGTCAGAAATATGAGTTGAGTTGTATGCCAGCAGCTGCGATTGGTGATTAGAGGAATTTATGAACAAAGAAGATTAAACTAGGATTTAAAAGGTTAAAATTATTGGCAACCAGCCCTTTTGACAGATAGAAGCTATAAGTTGTTGGAAATGTAAGATACCTCTACGATTGATAATTTTCGTGTTAACAATAGATGAAGGAATCCGTTGTTAGTTGGAGTATTTTCATGTTCCAATAGGGTTTTATCCGATGAACCATGAGGAGTTTAGCAGTCAACAACTCATGGTATGCTACCATTTCCTCTTTATGAACATACTTTTCCAAAATGCACATTGCTTTGGTATCATTTCAGCTTTGAGAATGAGGTACAAATATTTCCTGTCGGGTTGAATGAATTTAAAATAGTAGTACTTGTCAGAACAATATATATACATATCAAAAGAAGGAATTTACCAAAAATCATTCATCTCTTTTTCTCTCTTGTGGTCAGAAGTTCCTAATAAATGAAAGGTATAGAAAAGTATGTGAAGAGAGCATACTTGGTAAACCACGAGTATCTCAAGGGGTACTGCAATCAGCTCTCTTTATCTGATGCATCCACCTGCACCTTCAAGTTGTAAGGTTGGAAACTGCTATGTTGTCATTCGCATCAATAAAATTCTTTTTCCCTGATTGCTCTGCAGGTCAAATTGGAACGTCTTCGAATGCAAGTTCACTGAAATTCGCCGGAGGGATGAGCAGGAATAATCCAAGACGATGGTGGCAAAGCAAACATGAACCAAAGTGTTTATAGTTGATGTTGACTTGTAAAGATGCACCGGAACATGCATGTTTCCGTTTGATCATGAATCTGATCAAAATTCGGATATTTTTACTTGATGTGCTTGATTCACCTAATCGTGATTTGGGCATTGAAACTTGATGTATAAAGGATGTTGATGCTCTGTTTCAAAATATGTGTAGGATATTTCATGACTTTCATCATTCTGCATGTCTCGTTCTAAACCATGTTGGACAGATCGATTGCTTGTTGCCCCACTAGTCGTCATTGCTGGTCGTTTTTTACCATTGTGAAAATTATTTGCATATTTTTTCAAAAATAAAAACCAACTTTATTCACCTGTGATTGTTATGATATTCAATGATTCTATAATTACTGCCTTATGATGATTAATGCAGGAATTATTTTCGAATTATGTAAGAAACTGAGGACCATAATTAGCATTCAATGAAAATTAATCTTATAGCTACTCAGTATCATCTCAATGAAACCAAGCTATTTGATTCATTTTCCCGTTGGAATAGATCATTTTTAGTTTCAAAATCATTAATCTTATAAACAAAATCTGAATTTGAAACTTTGTCTAACCAATACTAATTACTAATTTATTGAAATTGATTATTATCATATAGATTACATATCTTCAAATTGATATTGGTTAATTAAAATTCGTAACGGTCCACTTACAACAAGTTATTTGCCGCGCAATAAAAAAAATTGTCATTTAGCTCTCTCCCCAGCACTCTAACCTCTGTTTGATTCTCCACCTTCCTCTGTTAACGTCCCTGAGCTAGCAAGAACATGGCTCAATCGGGCGGCGGTGGCGGTAACAATAACAGCAGCAATGGTGGTGGCGGTGGCGGTAACAATAGCAATAACAACAATAACGGTGGTGGACGAGGAGGCGGCAACAACAATAACAATAATGGTGGCGGCCGAGGAGGCGGCAATGACAACCACAATAATGGTGGCGGCCGTGGTGGTGGTAACGACAATAACAGTAGTGACGGCGGCCGTGGCGGTGGGAACAATAACGACAGTAATGGTGGTGGCCGTGGCAGCGGAGGCGGCAGTGGCGGTAACAATAACAATAATGGTGGTGGAAACAAGAAGGCAGAGGAGTTGCAGCCATACCCAGTAAAAGAGCAGCTGCCTGGTGTTCAGTATTGTGTTAACAGTCCTCCTCCATGGCGTTAGTATACCATTCTCTCTGATTATTATACTCTTAATCATAATCTTTACTAGGTTTTTTTTGTTTTGTTTTTTAATTTTGTTTTATTTCAATAGGCAAGTTCTTTAAATTTTAAATCTTCAAGGTATGCAAATTTAAAACTTTCATGGTTTTGCAGCTGAAGCTGTGATGTTGGGTTTCCAGCATTACCTTTTGACTCTTGGTATTACAATCTTCATTCCAAGTCTGCTTGTTCCTCAAATGGGTGGAGGCGATGTAAGGATTCAATTGCTAATTTTTCACAACTTTTTTTTTTTGGGTTCTGCTTTGTTGATATTTCCATTAATTAGATTTATTAATTGGTTCAGTCTTTTCTCTCTACAGATTGAGAAGGCTAGGGTGGTGCAAACCATGCTATTTGTTTCAGGGTTGAACACATTCATGCAATCTCTGTTCGGAACCCGGCTTCCCTCAGTGGTGGTGGGTTCATATACATATGTAATCCCCACAACTTCAATAATCCTAGCAAGTAGATATAAGGCAACCACAGATCCTCATGAGGTTAGGCTTTCACTTAATTTTTTCTTTTGTTGAAATATTAATATCCTATCTCTCTTCCTTGATTTGATCTTTTGAATGAATCTTCTTCCAGAAATTTTCGGAGACTATGCGAGGAATACAAGGCGCTCTAATCATCACTGCCAGTTTTCAGATGATTATGGGTTTCCTAGGCTTGTGGAGAATTGCTGTCAGGTTAGTCATTTTGATCAGAAGAGTTGGACTTTTAGATGGATGCAAGTCATTTATAAACTTCTCAAATTAGTGCTAGAGATGTTTGATACTTTGTGAATTGTGACCTAAGTTTCTTTATGTACTTGTTTAGGCTTCTTAGCCCTCTTTCTGTTGTCCCATTCATAACTTTTGCCGGACTTGGGCTCTCTCAGCTTGGTTTCCCTTTGGTAAAGATCTCTTGATCCTCCATTCTTAATTGGCTCCTATTTAATGTTGATTTGTTTTGAAGTCTTATCAGTATCCAACTCTGTTTTTTTCCCCTCCAAATTATTTTCTCTTTCTAGTTGGCCAGATGTGTTGAACTTGGGCTTCCAGAGTTGATCATCGTGGTTTTCATCTCACAGGCAAGTCCTCAATTGGTTACTATTGATTTTAACAGTCCTTTTTCCTTTAGTGTTTTTTCGTGGCACCAAGTAATATTCTAGATACTTAAATGTTTTGCAGTATCTTTCTCGTTTTATACATACAAAGAGGCAAATCTTTGGCAGATTTTCAGTGTTGTTCTCTGTTGCAATTGTATGGTTGTTCGCACAAATTCTAACCTCAAGTGGTGTGTATAACAACACACCAGAAAACACTCAGATCAGTTGCCGCACCGATCGTTCTGGCCTTATTAGTGCAGCTCCCTGGTGAGCTTTTGTGTGCAAACTCCAATTATCAACAAGTAATTCCTTTCGTTTCATGAGTATTTTGAAACAGTGGATCATTTTTTTCCTCTTGTTTTTTTATTGAATATGCAGGATCTATATTCCATATCCTTTTCAATGGGGGAGCCCTACTTTTAATGCAGGAGAAGCTTTTGCAATGATTGCTGCTTCTTTTGTTTCTCTCTTCGAGGTTCACATCTCTATTCTCCTAAGTTTCTTAGAAAAGCTTACAAGTTTACGAAGAATTTGATAACAACATTGAATTTGGCATGCAATTGCAACTTATTTTCTATATAATGTTTAGTAAAATGCAATCAAAATCTGTAAATATTTGCAGTCCTCTGGTACATTTTATGCTACAGCAAGATATGGGAGTGCCACACCTGTACCACCTTCTGTCGTTAGCCGCGGCGTTGGCTGGCTGGTAAGGGCATTTTTCCTTCAGAATTGTGACTCTTGTTGATTCTATTGGCATTTTTGCTCCATTGTCAAATTTTGACATTTTTTTCTTCATCTTTATTATTTTGAATTTCAGGGTGTAGGAGTGTTACTAAATGGGATGTTTGGTTCTCCAACTGGCACTACTGCATCAGTGTAATGACCTCAAACCTAATGTCTCTGTCTGTGTGTGGGAAAAAAAATCAATAAAATTTACCTTGCAGACTATGTATTTATACATGTGTAAAATGCTGATTTGATCTTCTAATTGCTCACTTCAAATATGCTGCATAGGGAAAATGCTGGCCTATTGGCATTGACAAGAGTTGGAAGTCGTAGAGTTATCCAGATATCAGCTTTTTTCATGATTTTCTTCTCTGTATTTGGTATGTTGCAAACTTTTCAATACATTTGCACATTAATTTAACCCATGATATACACTCTAAATGGTTTCTCATGGTGTTCTTGACCAGGAAAAATTGGAGCACTGTTCGCTTCAATTCCTGTACCAATCATAGCAGCTCTTTACTGTGTCTTATTTGGCTACGTTGGTACGTCTCTCTGAAATTTGATTGGAATTTTTTTACTGTCGAAGCAACAAAAACAAGAAACATTTTTCTAATGCTTTATAATTAACAGGGGTCTTATATGATGTCTCTTGCAGCTTCTGCAGGCCTTGGTTTTCTCCAATTTTGTAACCTGAACAGTTTCAGAACAAAATTTATATTGGGATTCTCTTTCTTCATGGGAATTTCAGTACCACAATACTTCAGAGAATATAGGTCTGGCCCTGATCACGGCGGTCCAAGATGGGTGAGATTTTTTAACCAAGTGTTCATAACTTTTATTTTAGTCTTAGCTACAAACTCTACAATTGGCCTTAACTTTTTTCGTTCAATTACTTTCAGTTTGAGGACATAGTAAATGTCATCTTCATGTCACACACAACAGTAGCTGCTTTGGTTGCTGTAATATTGGATAACTCCCTGTCTCGTGAAAACGATGCATCGAGAAAAGACAGCGGTTTAAACTGGTGGGAGAAGTTCCGCTTATACCGTTCTGATGTTAGAAATGATGAATTCTACGCGCTGCCGTGCAGATTGGACAAGTTTTTCCCAGCCCTTTGAATCTCCAAAACCACTGCTTGAAACAAAAGCGAAGTGGAAAAGCATTGAAACATCTGCTTAGTTTTGTAATAAAATTTTAAAACTTAATTATTTAGTTTGTTAAGCACTTTTGATACTATTAATTCAACTGTCATTAAGCAGAACTCTGCCTTGCAGTCACTAGGTTTTTCATGTCTTGGTTGTGGCAGGAGCTTATGCAATTGAGAATTTGACATGCAATCTTGCTGTGCTGGTCTGTCTCAGATGGCAGGACTTGGCAAGTTGCAAGGTTATCAAGATTGATACTTGAGGGACAATTAATGTTAGGTCGATGGAAGGGTCTTTTCTAGGCCTTTTGTGGTGTTGTTTTTGGCTTTATTTTTATTGGTTTTTTGAGTACTGGCGAAAATCTAAATTACTCTAAATTAATCTAATTTATAAAAAGGATTTTCGAATTTGGATGTAAAGAAATAAACATACTGTCCGACCAACTGACTTAACCCACGTATACTTTTCATATTAATTTAAAGATTGACTAAATCGAGGTCTAGTTTTCTCATATGATATTCATGTCTTTCATAAAAGCACTTGACACTAGGAACAAAATTGGATGCTAAATTCTTATCCAAAACTAAATCATTCAACGAATTATTGGATTTGTGATTGAATAACTTAAGACACCCAATTGTGAATTTTAGTCATTGAGGAAGAAGAAATTTTTTAACCTTAGTTTCACGAAAAGTACCAACCACTCAGGGGCTAAAACTTGGATCGGGGTCTAGCTGTTATCCACATAACACATAATTGTGCAATTTGGGTGACAGTTTTTAGAGCACGTGGCTAATCAAACGGATGACAAACCAAATCTCTGATATGAAGCAGAAAAAACACAAAGCAGAGCAAATGGCTCACAGCATGCAGAGATAAAAAGTTGAGAAAAGGGGTTTGTCAGCAGATCAAAACCGTCTGATAGGTTTTCAGATGAGATGGTTTTGTTTTGATGACATGCAAAGGCCAAAGGGTTTTGTTTGGAACTTGCAATAAGTTGTGTCCTCT